AGTTCAGAGAGTCCAGGTGGTTGAGTATCAGATTGTTCCATCTTGTTTCCCTTTGGGGTTGCTGAAGGTGATCCAGAAGTCTGTTTTTGAGGCTTGTTTATGTGTCTTCTCATTTCCACGGTGGGGGGGGGTGCTTCTGGCACCCGCATGGGTCACCCTCTCTGCCCTAGGAGCTTGGGATGGTGGCGGGGGAGCTTCCTTCTGGGTCCTCATTTCATTCTTAGTAACAGAAATGTAAGTTAAAATTCTAGCAAGATACCATTTCTTACCTATGACGTGGCAAGAATTAGCGATGTTTGCTCGTCCACAGTCTTGTTCCCTCTCACACCTGCTGGTCAGTTCTCCCAAGTGCCAAGGACAGTGGTTGGCAGTATCTATCAAAATCTTAACTAGACGTCCTCTGTGACCGAGAAACCACACTTCTAAGATTTTGGATGCTTTCTCACAAATGTTAAGATGATCTGAGCAGGGGCATTCTTTGCAGCATTGTTTGTTATGTGGGTTGACAATGATCTAAAGACAGGTGTTGATACAGGGACACTGCCACTCAGAAGAAGGTGAGGGTCACACTAGGCCCTCACCTTGTCCCAGCGTGGAACTAGGCCCAAGATATGTAAAGGGGACCTTAATGAAGCCAAGCACAGGAGGACTGGAGGGACGGTCCTGCTGCTGGCTGCCCACAACCACAGCTCTCCCTGCCATACAGTTACAGGTGCTGCTAAGGACCCAAAGCTGCAAGGCCTCCCTTGTGCAGGCTCCTGCCAAGGGCCCAGGAAGGACCTCAGCAGTGTGTTCACAAAGTCTCATGTTTTTATAAAATTTGCAAAAAATATTTTAGCCATTTTTTGTAAAGCTGTTTTGCCTTTCCCTTCTGACATCCCCTCTGCCCCACTTTCCCTGGTGTCTGGTGGCCCTGGGGCAGCCATGGATATGCTGGGGATTGTGCTAAGGGGCAGGTAAGTTAGAGACGAACTACTCATAGGCTTAGTGGAATGTACTCACTTGGCGTGGTGGGCGCCAACCCCTACGCATAGTAAAGTTACTGCTCCCTGGGGCTTGTGCTGACTGACAGGCCTTCCCGAAACACAGAAAATTTCATTTACTCAGGCATTAAATTATTAAAGACTATTGTAGTTCATGTGTGAAAACAAAGCTAACCAAGTCAGTGTAGGACACTGGGCCCTCACCTGGCAATAGGAAAAGATGTTACTTCCAACAAGCCAGGGTTATTGGTGGGCTGGGCATCTCAGTGAAAATGATTTCTTCCATAGAGACTGGAGGCAAAATTCAGAAAGTCAGAGGAGAGATTTCAGAGTAAATAAGTTGATGAGTGGCTGAGTTTCCTGGTAAGATGAGGGTGGAACTCAGTGGTAGAAATTGTGCTTAGCATGCATGAGACCCTAGATTCAATCCCCAGAATCCAAGAGAAAAAATCTTGGTTATGACAGAAATTATGTCTCTATAGGCTAACTCCTTCTAGACAGATATGAACTATCTAACCTTAATATCATAAGACCTTGGCTTTATTAACTGTACAACAAGGAAGTCTACATTTAAATCCTAAAAGAGGCCAAATACGAGACTATCAAATTAATAAAACTGGATTAGAACATTTCTGAAAACTGTGACTTGCTCAGCTCTGTACATTAAGGACTGGCTTGTATGGAAAAAATATTCCAAAGTAGAGAGAAGGCAAATTTGTGCTTGCTTTATTATTCAATATCATCTTAGATCATTTTCTCATGATCCTGCCTGATGCTGTTCAGCATCTGAGCGTTCAGGGATTGTAGCTTGCCCAAAAGGAGCCCATTTCCACTGGCCCTGTGCCCTCTACAATTAGAGGTTAGTTGGTAGAAATCTGATAAGGTATGGTGAACTGTGCTTTTTCTCCGCTAATGAAGATAACACCAAGGCTATGATTTTATTGCCCTATCATGTATTAACCATTTTCAATGACTCACATTTATCTTTGTTTTGCAGATAGTTTTAAATTGAGTCTCTTGTATTATCTCTGCTTCCTTCATTACTGAGTCTGATACAACGTTGAAGAGCCTAACAAATAAATTTCTCTCCAAATTAGGCTTTTGGAGTGGAACGCTGGAACAATGAGCAAGAGGCTTCTCTGGCGAAGGTGAAGTCCCGAACCAGGCAGAGAGGCCTGGGGGACACACCCCTGCTGTGTCCGAGGTGCCACATGCTGTCGCTTGCTCTTTTGCCAGAACTGGACTTTCCCCCACCGACACCTGCTAAGCCACTTCTGTTCCCCAGAACTTCGCCTTTTTACCGCTGCTTCACCAAAGCCAGTTGCTGCTTCTTGTTTCCACTGACCTTTGCCAGCAAAATGAACACAGCTTGGGCCCCGTTTCCTCCCACTGCACACTTGTGAACGGAAGTCTCAGGTGCATGAATCTGCCTGGTGAGCTCAGCTGCTGTGTTTTGCCCTAACTTCAAAGACGGCCAGGGGAAATGAGTTTTGTGATTTCCACTCTAGGGAGGCAGGGGAAATTTCATGGTACCTCAAAGGTGTCCAGATCGACGGACACCCACAAAACATAACCCGTGTCCACACACTGGACACTGTCAAAGTGGCCACTGTGACTAAAGGCTTCATATGTTCTCAGAGACCAGCTGACTCACAGACTCACAGGAGTTAATTAAATGGATGCTTTTGTTTTAAGTCACTATGTTTGGGAGTGGTTTGCTGACAGCAATAGATAATTGAAATGTATATTATACATAGTGTGAGTGTGTGTGTGTGTGGGGCCCCTTTTCACTCAATATATATATTTTTGGTACTGGGGATTGAACTCAGGACTTTGTGCTTGCGAGGCAGGTGGCAGAACCACTGAGCTAAATCCCTAGCACTCAATATTTTTTCTGTGAGACTTCCTCTGTTATAGTACTATCAGCGGTTCATTAATTTTCATTGCTTATATGTATTCTGTTGTATGGATACATCCCATTTCATTTATCCACTTACTGTTAGACCAAGGACATTTCTCCTGTGTGATCGTAATACCACCAGCATTCCCTGGATAGTTAAAATTGATACCATCTTATCAAATACTAGTCCATACTAAAACTTCCCCTTTTGTCTCAATTATGCCAAATAGTAAATGTGTGCCATGCTGAGTGGCTGAGTTTTGGCATCATTTGTTATACAGCAACAGATAACTAATACCAGGGTCTCCTTCTGCCAGTGAGGGCATTCAAGGGGCTTGGTAATTCATGATTTCAGCTTTCTCTGTGTCTGCTCCTATGTTCCCGTTTCAGATTTCAGGGTCCAGGTCTGTCTGAGCAGTGGCCCCCCATTGGTGCCTCTGCAATTTTACGGTCTTAACCAGCAGACCACAGGCCTGGGCCTCTCCGTGTCAGTGCTGTTAGGGAGGGAAGGCATCCTTTTAGACAGCTGTAGAGGTTCTGACACTTTTCACTCATGTCTTGTGTTTGGATTAAAATTTTTTGATGTATTCTTTCTCCTCTGCTCTCTGGGGAAGTTGGAAGCAGCCAGCCTATGACGGCTGGGACAGAGACTTCAACGGACTCAGCTAGCCTTTGTCTGGCTCCTGTCCTATCTGAAACCTTGTCACAGGTCACCTTGGATGTGAAGTCACTCAGACACTTCACTGATGATCTGGCTGTCCTAAGTGGTCAGTGCTTATTTCACTTCCTTCCTCAATATTCCTGCCATATTTAAAATCTCACTTTGAGCCACGTGGTGTATTGGAGGCTGATCAGACCCCCCAATCACCTGACCAAGGGTACGGCGGCAGGATGATAAAAGACAAGACAAGATCTTAATGCAAAAATGAGGGTCCCAGGATGGTCAAAGCTCTTATCAGGCTAAGACACTGTCTCCTGGAGCTGGCCACTATTTATTGAACATAAGCTTCTAGAAAGGGAACGGTGGAGTGGAGAGCACTGATGGGAGCAGGGTCCTAGCAATACGGGAATGAAACATTCTAGCAAGAACAGCTCACAGATTAATGGGAAATTTGTTTCTTCCCATGGATTAATTTCTGCCTCTATAGGAGTTTTATGTACAAGTCGTGCTGCCCTTAGCTGCACTACCTATTGTCCTGCCATCCAAGACGTCAGAATGTCACGGATCCCTGAGACCTCTGCTGTAACCAGTGGTGGGGGAGTTGCTCCTTTCCCACACACCAACTGCTGGCTCTTCAGGCCGACTCAGACTTTGAATACAAAAAGCCAATTTATGAATTTGTAGCTTGCTCAGGGTGGTCTCCATCAGTAGTGGCTTATTTTATGTGTCAACTTGGTAAAGTAAGGTTATGGTACCCATTTAATTGGGTACTGTTCTAGATGTTGCTGTGAAGGTGTTTTTTAGATGAAATCAAGATTTAAGTCAGTACATTTTGAGTAAAGCACATGAGCCTCCATATCGTGGGTGGGCCTTCCTATCAAAGGCCTTAAGAAGCTGACGCCCTCAAGGAATGGAGAACTTGGGGCCATGCTGCCCTCAGACTCGAGCTGCAACATTGACTCTTTCCTGGGTCTCCAGCCTGCACTATAGATTTGGAATCTCTCAGGCTCCACAATCATGTGAGCCACTACCTTAAAATAGGACTTCTCACCTTAGAGGGTGTCGCTCAGGGGTAGAGCACTTGCATGGTGTGTGCAGGGCCCTGGGTTCCATCTACAGCACTGCATAGAAAAAGTCCGTGAATATACATCTATTGGTTCTATTTCTCCAGAGAGCTCTCACTGCGCAAGCCATTTCCTCGAGAAGGTAATTTCTTAGAGAAATTCGCCTTCTTTCATGTCCACACATTTCATGTCCACACGATAAACATGGCATTTCTGTATTTTATTTCTGAGCTTTTGAGAGCATAGACTCTATTATACATCCCGATATTACAGACAGAACTCTGTCCTATAACTTGCTGGGTAACGTTGAATATTGCTGGACCAATTTCCAATGATTCTGTGTAAGTCTAAGGGGGTTAATGCAATTTTCTTTTTATATCATGTGCCAACAGCCAGCAGAAATTTTAAGGAGGACAAAGACAACTCGTATATTCTTGTTTGTTACATAAAATAGAGTATATTTACTAGATGCTTAAAAGATAGGCATTAAAAAAACCCCCACATATCCTAGAGAGAGGGGCTGTAAATGTAGGGAGAAATCTAAGTAATGTACCTAATTCTTATCCTCCTTTCTAAATCCTGATTTTTAAACACTTTAATTATATTCCCTGTTTACTGACTTGTATGGGAAAAATAGGAAATTAGTTCATATTTGTCATGGCTATGTAGGAGAAATTGTTGTATCTGATTTCCTTTGAGAGTTTGAATTTTTTTTTAACCTCAGCTGCAAATGGTGAAGTTAATTCTATTCCACAATTCGTGGTACATGATCATCATTGGTCCATATAAAATCTCTTTGGGCTGGGGATTTAGCTCAGTGGTTTTGCCACCTGCTGCACAAGCGCAAGGACCCGAGTTCGATCCCCGGTACCCCCCACCAAAAAAAATCTTCTCTTGTGTTTGTTACTATTTCTTCCTTTTAACCCACATTTCCCACTTCTGATCTCTTTCTTCTTGCTAAAGACAACCATTCTAATGTGCTTTGTTGTGTGCGTTGTTTAGTGTGTGCATATATTTTATTTTAACGGACTGGATTTTTGCTAAAAAGTTCATCCTGGGGCTGGGGATTTAGCTCAGTGGTATCACCTCCTGCTGTGCAAGTGCAAGGACCCGAGTTTGATCCCCACCTGAGTTCAATCCCTGGTACCAAAAAAAAAAACCCAAAAAACAGTTCATCTTGTTACCTGTTTACTGCACTTTTTCTTAGTTCTCCAGGTTATGCATTCACAACCTTGCCCTGCTTTGTCAGGCAGAGATGAGGATGGCCTGCAAGTCCTTCCTCCAGGAGTCACCTTACAAGCGTCTTCCTCACACAGGTCTGGCAGGGCCCCATAGGACAGTGAGCAGGAGGGGACGCATTGCCAGGAGCCGACTGCCGGGTCACAGGGTGTCTGTGCACACATTTTTATCAAGAATCGTGAAATTCTCTCCAGAACGGCTGCGTCACTTCCATTTTATCGGCTGTGGGCTGGGGCTCTTCTACCCCTACTTCCTCACCAACATTTTTCAGTATGAGGGATGAAGGAAGATTTTTCATTATGTACATTGCCACAGGTACTTTTGGAATATAACTCTCACCAAATTAAAAAAAATTATTTGATTTCTGGCTCCATATCTGTGTCTCAAGATTCATGAATAGATATACTTTATGAAATGACTTTAATAATCATTTGAGAAAAGAAAATTACTTTTAAAATCAATAAATATGGTGCATTTTAGCAATACACATTATTATATTGAATCATCTTTGCATTTCAGGATTTCCTATCTGATCTTGATGTATTATATTACTGACACTGTTGAATTCAGTGCATAAATATTTTCCCTATCTGTGTGCAAGGTGAAATGGGCCTATTAGTTTCTTTCCTTGAATTTTCCACACCTCAGTTTGGAATCGCAATTACACAAGTCTGAGAAGGTTGGCCAGGCAGCTTTCAATGTTTTTTCTGTTTTCTGGAAACAGTTAGACATTGCATGTTCCTTGAATGTTTGGTGTTTCTCATATGTGAGACCATCTGGACATCTTAAAAAAATAGCTATTTATTAGAGGCTGTTGACAACTTCTGTTTTTTAAAAATATTTATTGGTAAAGTTTTATATATATATATATAAATATGTATGTATATGTCCTATATGTAAATTTAGATATATGCATATATATAACATTTCAAAGATTTTGGTGAATTAATGTACATTACCTATCTCACATAGGCTTTCAAATTTATTAGCATAGACTTATTTGTATAGCCTTTATGTTTTGTGTCTCTGTTGTACCTGCAGCGATTCCCTGTTTTCTGCTCTGTACCCCCTTGACGTACTAGGGATTGAACGCAGGGGCTTCACCTGAGATATATCTTCAGCCCTTTTTAAATTTTTAAATTTTGAGACAGACTATCACTAAGTTGTCCAGGCTGGGCTTGAACTTGCAATCCTCATGTCTCGGGCCCAAGAGGTCTGGGATTACAGGTTTACACCTCCACACCTGGTTTCTCTTTTTCATTTTCTCTTTTGCCTTTCCATTTTTTCTCATTTATCCATGATCAATCTTGTTCTAAGTTTGCATGTCATGAAAATACTTTTAAGAAGTAATTTTGTTTTGTAAATCTTCTCGGCCTACTTTTTGTTCTCTATTTCATTGCTACTTTTATCTTTATGATTTCTTTACATTTGCTCAGTTACTCTTTTTTCCTCCAAACTTTTGAGGATAATTTTAGGTAATTTATTTTTAACTTTTCTTGTTCTAATAAAGGTACTTAAGGCCATAAAATTCTTCCAAAGTATCTGTTTTACTTCTGTCCAACAAAATTTAATATGCAACATTTTTATCACACGGTTTCAAATGAGTTACTTATTGGTATTTTGTTAATGTACAAATTATGAGAATTTTAGGTTGCTTTTTGTTACCAAGTTCTAATTTTATTATGGTGTGGTTGCCGAACATAAATACAGAGTCTGCCAAAAAAATGTACACACCCTTCAGGCAAAGAAAAACATGATGATTTGTTTCAACAGATGGTGTTACTCTTGTACTGGGGACCCCGAAGGATGGCCTATATCACAGCAAACCCACTACTCTGCCAGCACTCAGAGAAGAAATGGGAAATGCATGTGCAGCAGTCTCAGTGACCGAAGCAGCAGTTTGTTGTACTAATAACTGTCTGCAAGCTCATGGCCACTGCTTTGAGCACTTCTTGTAATTGTGGAGGCCAAGGGTAACGTATTAATCTCATGATATCTCAATAAATTTAGTATTAAAATATTTATACAAGTTTTTCTTTTCCTGAAATGTGCATACATTTTTTCGGCAGACTCTGTAGTTCCCAAAATACTGATACTTTGACATTTACTAGAGTTTTCTATTTACTGGAATTTCTTTTATGGAGTAAGTAATTTAGTAAATGTTCTGTGTGGTTTAAAAATTCTTTATACGCTGGGCATGGTGGCACATGCCTGTAGTTCCAGTACTCAGGAGGCTGAGGCAGGAGGATCACTGTTGAGTCTGAGGTCAGCCTGGGCTACATAGTGAGATTCTGTCTCAAAACAAAACAAAAAAATCCATTATATATATTTTTATGTGTGTGTGTGTTTTGAGGGGGTTGTAGTTTTGGATTTTTTTTTGCACGTAGTTTTATTTCCTTCTTTACTGTCATATCTTGAGGCTCAGTTAACTGCTTTTTCCCACTGGTAGCTGCTTGATAAATATGTGTCCTGTTACCTGCCTGTCTGGGGAAAAAACAAGAAGTTCTGACTTGTAGCCTTGCTGCTTTCCGTAGTGTGAACACTTCGTCAGTACTGAGCATGGTAGGTCGGCCTTGCAGTTTTCAGTCTGTTGTTACAAGCCCACACCCCATCACTTCTTTGAAGACCTTCACATTGTGTATTAGTTTTAGCGTTTGGCTTCATGTATTTTCTTAACCTAATTTTCCCTTTGGACCAATTTATTCTTCCTCTTTAAATTGTGTCTGCCTCTGGAAACAGTCATAAATCCTTTTTGTGGAATGGAGGGTATAAGGATACAGTGCTAAAAATGATAGGTATTAAATTTTGTGGGTACAGATAAAGCAGTACTTGGAAAGAATTTTATGGTTCCAAATGAATTTCAAATACTTCAAAAATAATTGACTTAAAAATTATCCTTAAAAATTTGGGGGGGGGGACTAAGCAAAATAATGAAAGAAATTATAAAGATAAAAATAGCAATGAAATAGAGAACAAATTGGCCTATTTAAAAATTCAATGCTTTCCGATTTTAATAGCTTTGAATAGTGTTAAATCTTGATTCAGTTCTTCAAGTCTTTGGCGTGGTGCTTGGGGCGTGCCTCACAGATGGGTCACGCACAGGTACCGCTCTAGGGTGACAGAGCCCCGTGAGGTGCTCCTAGAATCAGGGAGTCCCCTCCCCAGGTCCCTCACTGGGGACTCCCCTACGCTCTCCTGTCCCTTGACACCCATTTTTCTCGGTTCCTCTCCCTGAGTGTTGGCTTTGCAGATTTAGTGCCTGTGCTAGGTCGGAGAGCATTGTGCACCTGAGACGGACTTGAGGACAGAGCTGTGGGATGTGACACCTGGGGACACCGGTCTCTCAGTTTTGACCACCTGCACAGCCACCTGCTCTTCGTCACTTCCGGAGTCCTTTGAGTACTTGAGCTTCTAGTTGTGATCAGCGCGAGAGGTCGGCTTTTAAACTATTATTTCAAAATTCAAAGTAAATAGCAAGGCTAGAAACATCTTGAGACTTTTGTGAGTAGATTTTTTTCCCCCCCGCACTCCCAACGGCATATGGTTGTTCCAGAGTACTTTCTAGATTTGGCCTGAGGTCTTACTTGTATTTCTGTTAAATAGTTCACTTATTAGCAAGAGTTCACTTGCTAAGAGTTCGCTTACTAGCAAACAGCACTGACCGCAGGAGCTGTAAACTACCTGAGAAGTCACCCAACACTTTGATGGAGGAGATGGGGCCCACAGGAAGTGTGTGGCAAAGCTGGGACCAGGACCCAGCTCTGTTTAATACAGTCACCCAGGCACCTGAGACGGCTTCCTGTCAACGAACAAGCGTGTAGGGCTACTTTTCTGCACCCTCATCCTTTGAGCCTCAGAATGTTTTTTGTTTGTTTTTTTAGTGCTAGGGATTGATTCTAGGTCTTGTGTGTGCAAATCATGGACTCTCCTGGTAAGCTAACTAGAAGGCCTAGGAGAATTTTTATTACTCGTAACATGTAAAAGTCACTCAGTACACGGTGACTGTCATGTATAGGGCTCTTTCTAATCCTAGTGGTCTCCTCTCTCCTTTCTCAGGGAAAGACGTTTTAGACCCGGGGGAAGACAGCCGAAGGGCCTGGTGATACCTGGGAGGGAAGGATTCCCCTCTGCCAGGCTTCACCTCCCTGACACCCTCTCCCATCAACCATACCAGCTTCTTGTCCCAGCCAGTTTATTACCAACAAGAAGGAAGTGTGAGGAAGAGTCACTCATCATAGAATTTTGGCAGCTCATTCCCCAAGACTATTCGATGGTCCACACCAGCAGCCGTGATAGTGACCAGGTAGACGACACCCCCACTGGCGCCGTCCCGGCTGATGGCCAGAGCGATAGCTGCAGAGGGTTTCAAATCGGAGAGAGGGGGACAGAGTGGCTTAGCATCAAAACCCATTTCCTTCCCCTCCTGGCCTCACGCCTACTGCCACTTTCACCTTGAAAGCCACCTTCCAGGGAGGTATATTTAGTAGTGTGCTCAAAAAGCAAAAGCCTTCGTATGTGGCCTCTGCTCATGTCCATGGTGTAAATACTGCCATGATCGATTTCAAGTTACCAGCAGTTGAGTAAGCAGCTCCTAAACCCTTGAATTTTTAACAGTTATCTCTCTTGAGCTGATTCAAGCACACCACAGTTCTTATGTGACCACAGAGCCCACTGGACTTACTCAGATGGCCCTGATGTATCCCTGTTGTCCCAAAGTCCCTTCTAGTCTGGCATTTGTCCTGTCCTTTTTCACTCTCAAAAGTATTCCAGTTTGGACATGAAGTGAAATGGCCATCCATGAAGCCCTCTTCCTATTCCTTGTAATCTACTTCCTTCCCACGTGCAGAAAGCCTCCTAGGAAACTCCTCCTGGGTAGTTACCGTCTGTGGTGAAGCGCCTGCACTCCTCGGGGGACATGCCTGCTTTGTACGCTGCGTCCACATAACCATAGATGTAGGTGCTGCCAGAGCCGCTGATGATGAGGGGCTGTCGAGTCAGCATCCCTCCCAGCGTGCCGTAGACCTGGGGGAGGCACCTTCTGGTCAGTCTAGACAATCATCAAACTGCTCTTTCCCTAAATCAAGCTGGTGGCATCCACACCTGGCAATGAGGCCCTAGTATCTCATCTAAGAGACCGGAGCATGCTTTTAGAGGAACTCATTGCTAGAATGACACAGGGCCTCTACCCCCCTGCAGAGGAGGGTGGGAAACCCCAGGGAGGGGCTGTCCTCACCTGGCCCCCTTCACGTTGGTCCCAGCCAGCTATAATGAGATGTGCCAATAACTCCTCCCGGTATTTGTAGGTAATGTTCTTCACCAGGTTCGCTGCAGCCAGAACAAGGGGTGGCGCTTCCAGTTCCAACCTGGAGGAAACATTAGTAGGGTGACCCTTGAAGCCCCCAGCTGCAGTAGTTCTGTCTCCTCTCCCACATGGACAGGGCACGTGGAGTCCCACGCCACCAACCGGTAAGAAGCTTTCAGCCTTTCACCCTGTCTCCCTCTGCCCCACGCACCCACCTCCCAAGACACAACCCTCTCTGGCTGCCAGGGCCCTGCCCACATGGGTAAGGCAGATAGGTGACCTTAGTTTTGCATTTGGCAATGGCCTGATACTGTGGTCAGTAGTGGCCACGTCATCGTCATCACTTTCTCCCTGATTATTTATATTAGGGTAGTGATTGACGGTTTCTGAACTGCTTTCACATATTCATTCGACCTTCAAAACAGCCACCTGGTGAGGTAGGGTAGGTACTATTATCGCCACTGTGCAGATGCAGACACCACTTACTGAGATTCAAGCGCTAGTTCAAAGCTAACAAAAGCAGAAGCCAAAACAGCGGCCCTTGAATAGGACACCAAGAGGATACCGCAGGGCTTTGCATCAGGGGAGCTGGAGTGGGCGGGAGTCGGACTCAGCTCGTACCCATGCAGCTCCAGCTGGTAGGCGGCCATGTCCACCACGGCCTGGGCATCAGCAGCCGAACCAGAGAGGGCACAGTAGATGCGCTCGTTTAGCGGGGACAGCTTGTCAAACACTCGGTTCACCACCGACTGTCTGCGGAAGGAGCCAACAGTCATCAACATTAGAATCGCAGGAATGTTGGAGGTTAACCTTTCCATGTTTCTCAATTTTATTTGAGAAGAGAATAGCATGCAATGCAATGCTCGGGTGAAGGCAGAAAGCAAACACATCATCTCAGATAAACTGATCACTGTATTAATCAAAATTAGACCTTGAGATCTACACCTTTTTAGGCTTAGATTTTATAACAAAACAAAGAGTACAGAGTTGAGAGAAATGTGCATCTTATCAAGGTTGCTCTGCTATTAATCATTGTGAATTATGTTATATTCTATGGAACACGATGTAGGTAATATTGATCTAATACCACGGACTTTTTATACGCGAGGAACCTGGCTAGAAGGAGAGAAGAGACAAAATTAGTTCAAAATGTGACAGTGAGAAGCAAAGTATCTGCTTGACAGAAACATTTTTTTAAAAATCCCTAAGCAGATGGAAGCAAAACCCAACCTCCCGCCTCTTCCAGACCCAGTTCCTTACACTCCACCCTGCTCGGGACAGGGCCAGGTTACGCCAGCATTCAGACCCCAGGTCCTCTGCATGAACTCAGACACCGAGCATCACAGTGTGCTTGCTGCTCTGGAAGGTCAGCTCCATTGCCTGAGAGCTCCACTCTACCAGATCTTTCACGATGGGTGAGAAAAGTGTGTGGTGGGCAGCAGCATTGTCCCTGGTGCACACAGCTTGGCTGGTACTCACCCTGCCGACACCCGGGAGTCTGAACCCACCACGACTCCTCCGTCAAACTCCACTGCCATGATGGTGGTCTGCAGAGACAGAGTGTGGAATATGAATGGCAGCGCAGGAAGAGCCTCGACCCTCAGTGTTCCAGGAGAGGGGACATTCTCGGAGAGCTCAGGTGACTGACTCAGGGTCACACAGGAATTCAGATGGAGCTGACCCCCAGGACAGTCCCTCCCCACTGTCCTTCCACTTTACCGTTTGACCCCGCTGCAGGAGAATGTCCCAGCCTGGCTGCGATCCAACACTGAAAGGACGATATTCTAAACTCCACCTTCCCCAAGTGGAATCCTTTCCACTCTAAAGAGAGGCCCCGACTGGTCTCCACCGCATGTACTGGCTGTGTGTGCTCACGTGGCCCAGACCTGACACAAGTTCCTGAGAACTTGAGAAACAAGATCTCTTTTTGGCCCAGAATCCTCTACCCGGACCCCTGCTTATCCCGAAAGGAGCTCTTAGAATATATGAAGCCCTGGGTCTCATCAGGGAGGTCAGTGGTTAGCATGGACAGGGGCAAAGGTGGAGGGCAGCAGCAGGGAGCACACAGATGATCAAAAGAGACATCCTTCTTAAGGAGTTTGTAGTCAAGAGGTAAACAGATACCCTGGTAGCCAGGGGAAGAGAACTGTACCAGGAGAGGATTTGCCTGCCAACTCTGAGCTTTCCCAGGCCATGAAAAGATTTAAGGAAGAGTGGAGGAGGCTAACGCTACGTTCCTTCCACTCCTGTTGAGCCAGAGGCCTTACAGTTCCTTGGTTCATTTGAGGAAGCTGAGACACAGACAAGAAATGACTTATTCTATGTGGCACAGACTAAAACCCAGGTCTAACTTTTACGCCTAGTTTTCACTTCTACATTCTGCTTTCCACTTTTCATCTGGCAGGAAGGGGAGAGTCTCCAGTTCATCAGTGGATTCGCTGCTACCTCCCTTCACTGCACACCTTCCTCTGGCCCGGGCTCCGGCCCTGAGTGTGCTTTCCACTGTCTGACTTACGATAAATAAAGGGCCAGGGAACTAAGCCAGGCAGGTCCTAGAGGCCATCATCACTTTGCGACTAACCGGCCCGAGCCGAGAGCCGTGGCGGTGGTCAGGGCGGAAGCCGGTGAGCCCGGGGCTTCCATCTGCCTCATCTGAGCACAGGCCCGGGAGGGAAGGGCGCGCCTGGGCCAAGCAGGAGCCCGGGTCTCCCGGAGACAGCGCCGTGGAGTCACCCCAACCCACTATGGGCGCACTGGTGAGTTACGCCGCGGCCGAGTGATGGGCTGGTGCTTCCCGGCCCGAGCCCGTGTCCCCCTCCCAGGGCTCCCTCTGCTGTCCTTGCGAGGTGCCCCTGCCCTCTCCGGGTCTAACCGGCCCCGCGTCCAGACTACAGTGAAAGCGAAAGCGCTGCGGAGCAGCTTCCCTTGACGTCTCCATCTGGGGGCCAAGAACTCGCTTCCCCACCGGCCACGTGCCTCGTCCCCGCACGGACCCCTCGATCTCCCCGTCCGCACCCGGACACCCACCCCATGTTCACCGCGGGCGCAGGCACTGGGGACCCGGCCCCCTGAGCTTCTGTGTGTGCGTTCACTTCGCCGATCTTACAGGATTCCCGGCCGCCCGCCTCCTCCACTCCTCTGCCAACCCCAGAGCCGAAGCCTCACCCCGGTGTGGACTCCTGCGGCCCGGGATAGGTCCCGGGCGTGCGCCCCCGGCCGCAGCATCCCGCCGGCGCCGTGCTCCTTGCCTCCGGGCTCTGGTTCCCCGCCGCAGCGCGCAGTCCGCAGCTCCGCCCCCGCCCCGCCCACCAGGGGGCGCCCGCTTCCGCGCAGCGCTGCTCGGCGCCCGCGCTAACCTGGCGGGGCAGATCTGCCCGGAGACGGTGACCCCGGGTCCCCGTCCGGGGCTGGCGCGAGAAAACTGGTGCGAGGGGACCCGAAGGAGCAGGGAGACCAGGGAAGCGTGTGTGTGATGCAGAAAACGGGGCACGGGGCTGCGAGCCGGAGCCGCAGATCTGGGTCAGCGCCCACCCCCGGGTAGCGGGCGGCCTCCTCTAGGAGTGGGCGGGCTCTGGCCGGCGGCCGCTTTCGATTTCCTTTTCCAGTAAAGGGCTGCTCTTCCAGGCAGCGCCGCGGGGCCGGCCGGTTCCCGGGACTTTCTGGGAGCGCCCCCGTCCCCGCTCGTCCCCGCCCCTACCTGTGGCCCAGCGCCGCAGTCCTCGGCTGGGTCCGCGGGGCCATCGCAGCATCCTCGGCCGTGGCACCGGGCAGCACCGCGCCATGGTCCGGGCTGCCCTCGCCTGGCTGGGCGCCGCGCTGCTCCTGCTGGCCGACTGGGCGCTGCTCCGGCCCGCGCTGCCGCGCACGGTCTCGCTGCTGCTGCCCGGGGCGCCCCTGCTGCTCCGGGCCTGGGTGCTGGGCCTGTGCCGCTGGGCCGTGCTGGGGCTGGGGGTCCGCGGTGTCCTCCGGGCAGCGGTGGGCGCCCGGGTCCCCGGCTGGCTGGGTGCTCTGCAGCCGCTGGCAGCCGCGCTGGGCTTGGCCCTGCCCGGACTCGTCTCGTTCAGGCGGCAGGTCTCCTGGGACGCCGACAGCACCGGGCCGCTGCGCTGGGGAAGCCGCCCGGACGCCTTCGTCCTCGGCTATGCGGCCGCCCTGCCCGCCGCTGCCCTGTGGCACACGCTCGGGAGCCTCTGCGTGCCCGGCGGCGCTGGGCCCTCGGTGCGCCGGCTGCTAGGCCTCCTGGGCGCTGAGATTCGCCGGCTCCCGCCGGTTTTGGCTTTGCTGACCCTCTCCTGCCTGGGTAAGGGGCGCGCGGGGCTGTCCAGGAATCGCGGTACTGACCTGAGGGGGGGGGGGCTCGGAAATGCTGGCCCCGGTCCGAGGGACCGCGTGGGTGCAGAGGAGAGCCCGGGGCTGGGAGGGAGCCAGGCTCCGTGTGGCTGCGGCAGCGGAAAGCCGCTGTGGGCCGAGCATCTCACCTCGAGGGTGGCCCGCTGCACTGTCTCCGTCTGCCCCTAAACCCCAAGAGCCCAACCGGGCCAGCGCAGGGCAGGTGTGGGACCCGGGGCTGTTTCCTTCCTCCCTGCCCTGGCCCGGCTGACTGACCTCCCCTCTCTCCCAGGGGAGATGGCCATTCCGTTCTTCACAGGCCGCCTCACCGACCGGCTGCTGCGGGACAGGACGGCCACCGACCTCACCTGGAACATAGTGCTCATGTCCGTCATCACCATAGTGAGGTCTGGGCGCGGGCCTGGGAGCCCTGGGCAGGGACCGGGTGACTTCCCTCTCTCCCCGGAGGGCGCCCTGACCCTGGTCTCTGCAGTGCGCTGATGGAGCTCGTCTGCGACGCCCTGTACCACAGCACCATGGGCCGCGCCTCCCACCGGCTGCAGGCACAGGTGTTTCAGGCTGTGCTAGGCCAGGAGACTGAATTCTTCCAGAAGAACCAAGCAGGTTCGCGCCAAGCTCTTCCGATTTGCTTTGATCTATTCTTTATATCACCATGCATGCTCTTTTACTTACAAGCTTGCTCAACTCCCTTCCTCCCTTACACATTTACCACATACACATTGTTATTTAATCTTAATATACCTTAGCAGCAAAGTATTGTCTTCGTTACCTTAAGAAAAGCCTACTCTTTTTATCCAGGATTCCCCGTAAATATATGCCCATGTATTCTTAGAAACTACAGAATTTTAAAACTAGGAGTTTTCAGTCCCCAAAGTCCAAATGCTTCATTGGCCGAGAAGGAAACTGAGGCCTAGACCTCAGATGCTGAAATGTGCATGATCACACGGCTGGAGACAGCTTTGGGTTAAACCCCAGCATCTTGGTTCCCAGTGCAGGGCTCATTCCAGCTCCTGGGTGGCCCTGACTGGCACCCCCTGCTCCGTGCCCACCTGGTGATTGCTTTGAGCTCTTTCTACCGTGTGTGTAGCAGGGGATATGCAGGTTCTTTAAGGAAGACCAAAGGTTCGAACAGAAATTACATGCAAATTAATTTCTTGTAGGTCTTCCTCTCTGACACTTATTTTGCCTGCATTGAGGTCCCTGCACCAGCCCCAAGCCCTAGCCTCGTTTGCCTCAGTGCCCGAGAACACCATGCAGACGCCCCTGCCCCTGGCACCCTGGCTCTGTAGCACCTCGAATCTCTCCGAAGCAGTCTCGTGCCCTCTGCTCTCTTCCCCCAACCCTGGCAGGTGTCATCATGTCTCGGGTGACAAGTGACACGTCCACCATGTGTGAGTCTCTGAGCTCCGAGCTGAGCCTGCTGCTATGGTACCTGGTGCGAGGATTGTGTCCCTTGGTGTTCATCCTCTGGGGGTCACCGTCCCTCACCCTGGTCACCCTGGCTTCCCTGCCTCTGCTGTTCCTCCTGCCCAAGCAGCTGGGAAAGTGGTATGAGGTACGTGCCGGGAGTTGGCTCAGCGTACACAGCCTCACTGCCTGACCTGCCAGCTCCCCTTTGGCATGGCTTCCTGTACCTTCCCAGTTCTCCACCTCCACGGAGCTCCCTGTCCCTGGGGTCTGTGTTCCCACACTGCTCAACCTTAATCTCCACATTCTCTGTCTTCTCTTCTAACTTCTGCCCACAACCAGTACTTAAGAACATGATCCCAGGGCCGGGGATTTAGCTCAGTGGCGCTGTGCCTGCCTGGCACTCACAGGTCCTGAGTTTGATTCCTGGTACCGAGAAAAAAGGAAAGAACCTGATTCCAGACACATTCTGAGCATCTTCCTCTCCTCTGCGTCTTTAGCGTCCGGGGGCATCGATGTGCCCCTTGCTGCCCCATCCTACCCTCCCTCTTATCACCTGGGATTGCCAAAGAGGCCGCTCTGCTGCTGGTGTCCTGGAGCTTGCTGACACCGTGTGATGCCTCACGTCTGTGTCTCACAGTCACTGGGAGTACAGGAGTCAGAGTTTCTGGCAGAGTCCAGCCAGGTGGCCATCGAAGCCCTGTCAGCTATGCCTACCGTCCGGAGCTTTGCCAATGAGGAGGGTGAGGCCCAGAAGTTCAGACAGAAGCTGGAGAAAATAAAGACCCTCAACCAGAAGAAGGCTTTGGCCTACGTCTTCAACCAGTGGACCACCAGTGTGAGTGTCTGGATAGGAGCGCCTAGGGCCCTGCCCCAAGGATGCCTCACTCCAGTCCCTCTCCCAGTGCCAATGGCTGGGTTAGCGCTTCCATCCGAGCAAGCTGAGGCTCAGTGTCCTTAACCACCTTCCTCTTTAGGGGTGCTCGGTGGCTTCCTTCCCCCATGGTACATGAAGTTCCCCCAACCATGTGGAGAAGAGGGATGCCACATCTCCCAGTCCTTCGCCTCTCAGGGGGAGCTTGGGGAGCCTCAGATTCCCACACGTGGGCCTGCTTCATTTCATGCTGGTGCAGAGTGGGTGTGCCAGGGGCTCCCACGGGAATATTGGAAGCTGGGGATGAGGGGATGAGAACCTAAGTAGGAACTGTAGGTTCCCAATGCTGCCGTTTGTTAGCTCTGTGCCTATAAAGGTGCAATAGGAGACTCTTTGCCGAGACTTTGCCTCATTTTAAAAAGAGAAATCTAGCTCCTCCTTTAGAGGAGACTTTTAATGAGGATTAGCTATACCGTTTTCATGAAAGCTTTTGGTGAAGCGGAAGTTTCGCTCCAAGCAACATGATAATGATGGTGACAAAGATGGAGGACTTGTGATCCGCGTTGGACCCATGGCTCCTCTACGGTTCATTCTTCCTTTCTGCCTACCAGGCCTGCTCTGGTTGTTTGGGAGAAAAGGACTTTGTAGGTCTTAAGTGCTAATCTCTCTGATTATTGGAGTCTCTAGTTTTTTTCACCACGGTCCTTTTTGTGTTGGTCTCTTTGTAGGTCTCGGGGATGCTGCTGAAGGTGGCAACCCTGTATGTCGGTGGGAAGCTGGTGATGGGGGGCGCTGTCAGCAGCGGAAACCTCGTCACATTCGTCCTCTACCAGCACCAGTTCGTCTCGGCTATTGAGGTGAGGTCCCTCCCTGCCATGCCTTCCCTTCCCTGTCCCGTCCCTGGCTGTGTTGCTGTCCTTCCGTCCTGTACCTTCTCATATCACGTAATGCTGGCAAGCACGTTAAGTCTTTCTCTGTTCTGCTTTCCCCCCAGGTTCTGCTGCACTGCTATCCCGGGGTACAGAAGGCCGTGGGCTCCTCAGAGAAAATATTTGAGTACCTGGAGCGGACTCCTCAATGCCCACCCAGTGGCCTGTTGACTCCCTTAAGCATGGACGGCTGCGTCCAGTTCCAAGATGTCTCCTTTGCCTACCCAAACAATCCCAGTGTCTTGGTGCTGCAGGTAGAGCTTTGACTCCCGAATCTTTCTTCCTGCCTCCTGCTTTAACACCAAATCTAGGTCCTCATTAACCTCACCTGGCCCATGAATGTCATCTGAACTCAAGTTTGGGCTTCCAAGCAATAGGAGGTTGGAACGGGACGGTTCTCACATTCCAAGGCAGTGCCGCGGAAAGATCTGCACCCCCTCATGTCTTTCTCGCCTTTTTCTCTCCTCCTGTGATTTGGAGTGTGGTTTCCTTTAGCTTCGGGTTGGTAACTGGTAGCAAGTGTGTGGCACAGTGGTGCCTGACTTCACCTTGTCTTTACGTCATTGTCCACCTCTCCTTCCTGAGGAGACATCATCCCAGAAGTCTGTGGAGGGGGGGAGGGCAGGAGTTGCTGTATTTCCCCATTTCTCCTTTATTTGCTGGGGAAAGAGATTCCATTCTATGCAACAGAACAGGAAAACGTCAAGCCTAGAGGCCTCAAACTGTCATTTGCTTTGTGATTCTCTGGCATCCAGGGCCTGACATTCACCGTGCGTCCCGGGGAGGTGACGGCCCTGGTGGGACCCAATGGCTCTGGGAAGAGCACCGTGGCCGCCCTGCTGCAGAATCTGTACCAGCCCACGAGGGGCCAGGTGCTGCTGGCTGGGCAGCCGCTGCCCCAGTATGAGCACCACTACCTGCACAGACAGGTGAGCAGGGCGCGGCATGAGGAAGAAAAGGTTCTCGCTGAGCTCGTGAAAGGAGGGTTGGAGGCCAGAGGAGGCCTCGGGTGGAGTTGGGAGTGGGCCCGGAGAGAGTTCCAAGTTTTTTCTTCGCTCTCAATTTTGTCTCCAGATAATCCTACCTCTGAGTCCCTTGTATTTCACGTCAGGTGGCTGCTGTGGGACAAGAGCCTCGGCTGTTTGGAAGAAGTCTTCGGGAAAATATTGCCTATGGCCTCACCCCGGAGCCAACTCTGGCAGAAATCAAAACTGCCGCGTGGAAGTCCGGAGCCCACAGCTTCATCTCGGAACTCCCTCAGGACTACGACGCAGGTACTGTCTCTGTGCCAGACAGCTCACCCTCACTGAGACCCTGTAGTTTTGCCTTTATTATTCAGTTCCTCCTCCCCATGGGCGTCCACTGGAAGTTGTCAGACGTTCCCATGGCTACTTCATCCTCGTCCCAAGAGCTCCGTCCACCTTCCCACCATCTCCCCGTGCAGCTGCACCCGTCAGCTGTGTGCCCGCGTGTGCGTGTGTGCCCGTGCGTGTATGCGCACTTGAGCCCACGTGTGGCTCTCCAGGTCTCATCTGGGCTCTGGGCTCTGCAGATGCAGGCGAGGGTGGGAGCCAGCTGTCAGGAGGTCAGCGCCAGGCTGTGGCTTTGGCCCGAGCACTCATTAGGAAACCCCGTGTCCTCATCCTGGATGATGCCACCAGTGCCCTGGACAAAAACAATCAGTCACAGGTAAGCGAGTCATCGTCTTAGTGTCTGGACCCCACTGAGTCTCTTTCCTCCTCCCTTGTTAGTCCCCCAATATCATAATGATCCCAACCTATGCTTGGAGGTCTCAGTCCCCATTAGCATTTCCCCAAGAGACCCAAACTGGTCTAAAGAGTCTGTGTACTGACTCTCAACCGCTAAAGCCAAACACAAAGCAAAGAGTACTCTAATAATAACATCAAGGTTGTACTTTGCTGCGCATGCTCCCCGGTCGTACACGCAGGCCTCCCCCCCAGCCATCACGGTGCTTTGTGAGGGTGTCGCCCTCATTCTGTGGGTGACTAAGGGAGGTTGAAGACCTGCTCCAGTAGAGCAGAGCCTCGACCTTAGCAGAACAAAGTTTTGGCAGACAAGCACAGAGAACCGGAAACCCCACCGTGCCTGGAGCCGCTGGCAGCGCTGGCCGCGCCCTGGGCTTGGGGCCTTGACAGGCGCCTCTCTCCGCAGGTGCGGCAGCTCCTCTACGCCAGCCCAGAGCGCTGCTCTCGCTCGGTTCTTCTCATCACGCAGCAGCTGAGCCTGGCGGAGCAGGCTGACCACATCCTGTTTCTGAAAAAAGGCGTCATCTGTGAGCGGGGAACCCACAAGCAGCTCATGGCGATGGGGGGGCGCTACCGGGACTTGGTGCAGGCCCCCGCGCGCGCTCCGGAATGAAAGGCTCCTAGGACCTGCGCACTCTCTCCCTGCGCTCTCAGCTCCGGTGCAGAACTGGGATCTCGGCAGAGCTGCACAGTGGGCGGCTGCCGCTAGGGGGAGTTCCGTGCTAGGATGCAGCTCCCTGGTGTGCTTAAAGCTTGCCAAGCGTGTTGGCGTCCTCTCCCAGCTCCTCTAGGTAATGCAGACTTCCTGGAAGACAAACAGGGCTAATACTCCGTTGTGTAACTGGTTTATGGCCAGGTTGGTGCTTTGGTGTAAGGCAGAGCTCTGGAAAGGAGAAGAAATATTCAGAGCACAGACAGAGGGGAGACCAACTGCTCCGTGTGACCAGAGGCTTATGCCGGCTCCTGAATATCCTGTGGGTTCTTGATATTTATAATAAAATCGGTGTTTTGCACTGCGGTTTCTCCTGTTTCGGGCACCTCAAACGGCTCAGCGTCTTTCACAGGGCACTGCGCAGCAGCGCTCCGATGTCTCCTTCTTTAGCATTTGCAGTGTTTCACAGTCCTGGAAGCAGCATCTCCTCTGCTAGGTTTTCTGTTTCCTGTGGCCCCACCTGTACTTCTCCCTCCCCGGCCGGCTGCGAGGCTAACAGCCGACAGCAGTGCTCCAAAGAGCCTGGCCTTGCAGTGGACCACGGGGCCAGGGAGGCTGGAGAAGGTGCAAACACGTGGTCAGAGGGGCTGCTAGTGCCCCCCACGCGCGCTCCTCGATTGCTCGGATCCTTTCTCCCGGAGCTCTCACGGGTGCCCCGCCTGGGTCCTCTAGGGGGAAAGGGGTGGGGTTATCTGTAAAGCGCTTCCATTCAGAAAGGGCCGGTGGTGTGACGCCAGCAGTTGCCGGGCAGAGGAGGACACTGCAGGTTGCAGAGAGAGGCGGGGTTTAGAGGAATTCAGTGGAGCCGCGCAGGCCAGAGCCTGGAGCCGGCGAGGAGGGGCGGGCAGAGGGGCCTCCTCCTTGTGGGTGGGCTCGGGCTGGGGAGACCACGGAAAGCTCAGCGGAAGTTCAGAGCCCGCGCCCTCTCCTGGCGCCCGCCCCTCCCGCGCAGGCCGGCGCCGTCTTCGGGGTGCAGGGTCCCCGCCCGCTCCCCCCGTCCTAGGTCTTACTGCGGGTACCGATGCGAGGACGGTGCCCCTCCACGGCGCCACTCCGGCGTGAAGCTCAGCCCGCCCCTTTGCCCCCTGCAGACTCGGCCTTGGGTTGGGACGGGGTGGGGAGCGCAGGGCACCCCCTCCTCAGGCCCCTCGGAGGATGCCCGCGTGCAGGCAGGGGAAGGGGCTCCCCACCTTCCCTCGTGGCGGCCGCCCCACTCCCTGGCCTCCCGGCCAGGGCTCCCCCGGGTCAGACACCCTCGGCCTCTCCTCGGAGAGGGCAGGGGGATGCGGAAAAATGCTGGTCCCCTCCCCTCGGGCCGTGGCTTTCGCTTTCACTTCCTCCCGCGCGGGTGGCCGGATCGGAGGTGCGCGGGGACCATGGCGCTGCTGGAGCTGTGCGGAGCCCGGCGTGGGCGGCGGCCCGGCTGGGCTGCGCCCGCGGTGGGGGGCGCGCGGAGCTCGGACCTGGGACACTACGGGTTCTCTGCGCGAGCCCGGGAGCTCGCCTTCCCCAGGGCAGTGCAGGTGAGGGGGGGCTGCGAGGAGGGCTCTGCTGAGCCCGCCAGCCCGAGGCTGGGGGTCGGGAAAGAGCAGATTAAGGCGGCGGCCGGGGGGGAGTGGGGGCAGGGGGCTTCCCGCGTGTCGCCGTCTGGGTAATCGCAGGGAAGTGGGTGGCGTTTTCTAACAAACACAGGGGACCCCTTCTGCGCCACACAGAGCCACACAGAGCACAAGCCCTTCGCGGGCGGGGCGGGCTTTGGGACGCCCACCGACCTTGCCCCCTGCAGCTCTCTGCTGAGCGGCCTAGAACGAGTCACGGCTCGCATTGGTCCCCAGCCCAGGGTTGGATGACTTATGAATGAAAAAAGCCCTTAAAGCCAATTAAAAAGTTTGAGCTGTGGTAGCTTTTGATTTCTTTCATTCCTGTTGTACTGGAAGTGGGAGAAGCTGGTGCCCCGCGCCTCTTCTCTTCCTTCTCCAGAGCACATTTCCTCCCAGCGCTGGTGAGGAACTTTCCACTCCTGGGTGGTTAGAGAGCTTTCACACAGCTCCTTGCCCGCATGTTCTCTGGAACCCTTCGCTGCAGGAGGCCCTGCTACCTAGGTGCTCACTGGCTCCGCCTCTTCTCTCCGTAGCCCGCTGAGTTCTCAGCACCCCCGGGTGGGGACGGAGAAAGGAACGTTCGGATTGAGCTGGCGCACGGCACGACCACGCTGGCCTTCAAGTTCCAGCATGGAGTGATTGTGGCTGTGGACTCTCGGGCCACAGCGGGGAGTTACATCTGTGAGTGTGGGGGCCCCCGGCGGAGTGTGAGACCTGGGCCCCCCTTCCTGCAGGTTATGTGTCGGCACCAAAGCCCAAGCGGATGTGGATTTAGGGCACACAGGGACTGCGGGCTCATTCCTCCTGTCTCAAAACGCTCCTTCCAGCTACCGTAGGGATAAACAAGGTGATCGAGATCAACCCTTACCTGCTGGGCACCATGTCTGGCTGCGCGGCCGACTGTCAGTACTGGGAGCGTCTGCTAGCCAAGGAGTGCAGGTGGGTGAGGCCTCTGTCCCTTTCATGGGCGTCTGGTGATTCCTGGCCCGCCCAAGTCACTGTCCCTCACCTTTGTGCTGTGAGTCCGTCTTAGTGCTAACAGAGTATTCACGAAACAGCCTTTGGGTAATAAAAACGCTCCCCCAAATCTCAGTCTGTGTTCCTGCCCTTAAGCTAGGTACTTTGTCAACTGTTTAGCATGAACGCCAGCAGCACTGGTGGGAGAGCCCCGGTACTAGGCTTTCTTTATGTGTTTAGATACTTCAAATTCCAAAACTGTCCCTGCTCCTTAGGTTCTACAAAACAGTTCCTTCAAGTGCTTATCTCTTCAGTCATGTCCTGCCCATCGGGGCAGAGCTAACCTTCTCCAGCTGCCCCTAAGTCTCTTCCGCCTGTCCTCACCCAGGCTGTACTACCTGCGGAATGGGGAGCGGATCTCAGTGTCGGCCGCCTCCAAGCTGCTGGCCAACATGGTGTCCCAGTACCGGGGCCTGGGCCTGTCCATGGGCAGCATGATCTGTGGCTGGGACAAGAAGGTGGGTGCTCTCCTCCCCCATGTTCCCCAAGCAGGGGAGAAAGACCTGTCCCTATTGGGCCCGCCCTCGCCCACCCCTGTATGATAGCTGGCATGTAGAGCAGTTGTTTTCTGGCTTTTCCTGTGTGTGCGCGCGTGTGTGCGCGTGTGTGCATGTGTGTGTATTTCTTGGTCCAGTCAGGGACCACTGTGTGCTGTCTATAAGCTGATCCTTTTGTTAAGATAGCTGAGTCCAGCTGCTTTCTCCTCCTATTTCTACAGTTCTATGATTTTACCAAAATGCTGTCCTAATTCAGATGTTCCCGTGGTAGTCTTCATGCTTTGGTCCACTTTTTGAGACCCACGCTTGAACCTCTTATGTTACCAATAAATTCCTCTCCAAATTCAGCCCGGAACCTCTTTCATCTTATAGGGCCCGGGACTCTACTATGTGAACGAAGAGGGGACTCGGCTGTCAGGACACCTGTTCTCCACCGGCAGTGGGAACACTTATGCCTATGGGGTCCTGGACAGTGGCCACCGGCCTGACCTCAGTCCTGAAGAGGCCTATGACCTCGGCCGCAGGGCTGTTGTTTATGCCACTCACAGAGACAGCTATTCTGGAGGCGTTGTCAATAGTAAGTCACCAATGACTCATGGTGCCTGGGAGAGGAGAGGGAGACTAAGGCCGGGAGACTCAGGGGAGGCTGAGTGGCAAGAGGGAGTCGGAGGACTGGCGCAGAACCCCCAGTAGTAAGGTCTGAGTATGGGCCTTGTCTGTGCACTGTTGCTGCCTTCCACATTACACACGTAACCAGAAGTTGGTGCTGTTTTCTCATTTGCCCGCAGTGTACCACATGAAGGAAGACGGCTGGGTGAAAGTGGAAAGTACGGATGTCAGCGACCTGCTGTACCAGTACCAGGAGGCCAGTCAGTAACAGTGGCCCATGCAGGCCTCTTCTGGTGGGAGAGCCACCAGTCAGGAACCTGGGCCACGTTAAGTCTCAGCACGAAACAGAATGGCCCAGTGGCTGGTGGTGAGGGGCCATGTTCTCCCATTTCTGCGCTCTCCTTTCCATGAGCATCTCCCCTGGGGCCTTCAGGTGCCCCTAAGCACAATAAAGGAAAACGGTTAAAAATGTGCCCGCTGTGGCTAAGTGGATTTGGGGCTGTGGGTTTTCTGGGGGGAGGGGCAGGAAATCAAGAGAGGGCTTTCTCTGAGAAATAACTCAGGCTCCTCTATAGGAAATGAGGCCCTACCAGCCCGTCCCAGGCCTGTAACCCTAGCACTTGGGAGTCTGGGGCAGGGGAGTCATGAGTTCCGGGCCAGCCTGGGCTACTAGTGAGGCCCTGTCTCAAGAAACCAAACCAAACAAACAAAACAAAAAACAGTTGATCCCGGGAAATATTTCTTCCACACTCATTTCTCCAGAATACAAGGCCGACTGATCCTAGTTGATTTGGACACATATTTGTAATTTCACTGGCACAGAGACGCAATGTGGAGACTCTCATGTGGTCCGCTGTTAATGGTTTGTGTGCCTGAGAGGAGGACACCAAGAACAACTGTTTCTGACTTTGTAGAGTGGGCTGGAAAAGCTTCCATCTCACTTATGCTTATTGTAGACACTGTACTGTTTACCTCTAATGACACCTTAGACGTGTGGGATATTGAATGTAAAGATGGATGTTCCGGTTAGATCCTGATTGCAGAGGAAAGGAGCCAAACAGGACTCCTGGAAGAGGAGAATAAGAGGAAAAAGTAAAAGATCTACATTAGAAAGGAAGACAATGAAAGTCTCTGAATCCTGAAGGCTACAGGAGGGAATGGAATGTGGACTATGCCACTGTCAGGTGACATCTGAAAGTTGGAAGCAGCTGAGGTGGAGCATTTTCCCATCACGGAGGGACTTTCCATCTCCGAAGGATGGAGCTGGAGACGTTTTAGTGATCCACTAATCCTCTGCTTCAGCCCCCACCCCCGCTGTTTCAAACTCCTGACTCATCGGTAGTGACAGCAATGACATTGAAAGGGTGGTGTGAAATCCAGGCAGTGAGCCCTTTGGGGATTTTTTTCCCCAAGTTTGGGAGGTAATTTTAACCGGAAGTCATTTCTGAAATAACTGCGAATTCCAAGGGTAGGCTCCGACCCAGAGCAATGTGAGCCCGATTCCTGTTCTTTCAGGTTAAAATAGGCCAACACTGGGCATTTCCCTCCAGGGCCAAGGGCATTCCCAGCGCGATTCACAGCACACAGAGGCCCTGCCCCTGCGCCCCCTGGGAAGGACACATGAGGACCCCATGGGGCTTCTCACCCAAGACCCTAAAAGTGGATCTTGCCTGGGAGAAGAGGGCGCTTATTAAAACAGGCGGTAACTGAGAAAGGCCAGTGGTTCCCAATTACAAAGCATCTCAGGGCTTGAAACACTGCTGTTGTACATCACAGTCCCCGCCAGGAGGGTGAGGCTGAGCCTCTGGGGACCAAGGGCGCGCGGGCGGATTTGGGGCTGCGGGGTCTGGGTCCGCGGGTCCCGGGCGCCCCCCGCTGGCAGCCGCGCGCAGCTGTCAGAAGCGAAAGCGAAACCGTTGAGCCTTGTCAGGAGAGACCCTGGCGGACCGAGGGGAGAGCTGAGAGGGTGAGCAGCTCTAGGCTCAGCGCTCGACGGGAAGCCCTCTGAGCAGCGCCCCCCGCCCCGCGGGTGAGTTCGTGGGCGCACGCAGGGGCGCAGCCACCCCAGCTCTGCCCTCGCGCCACAGCTCTGGTCCCTGTGGACCCAGGAAGGGGAAGGCAGCGGGGCCGGGTGCGCCTGGCTCTCCGGAGCGCGCGCCGCGGGGCGGAGTGGAGGGTGGAGAGGGACCGGGGCCGGGGAATGAAACATTATTATTATTATTATTATTATTATTATTATTATTATTATTATTCTCAGCGTGATGCTCCGGGGCAGAGCTTTTGGGGCAGGAGGGATGTGGCCGTGAGCTCGGCGGGTGGGGGGTCAGGACCAGGACGGGGGCCACCCCCTAATTTCTCACCGTCTGTCCCCAGATCCTGGGCGCCATGCGGCTCCCTGACCCGCGGCCCTGGGCCTCCCTGCTGCTGGTGGACTTGGCCTTGCTCTGGCTGCTAGAGGGGGCGCTGGGGGCTCTGCTTCCCCGAGGGCTCCTGGGACTGTGGCTGGAGGGGGCCCTGCGGCTTGGGGGGCTGTGGGGGCTGCTAAAGCTGGGAGGTCTGCTGGGATTTCGGGGGGCCTTGCTGGCCCCGCTCTGCCTGGCGACGCCCCTGTTCCTCTCCCTGGGAGCCCTGGTGGGAGGGACCCCGAGGGCGCCCCCCGTCAGAGTGGCCGGGGCCTCCCGGAGCTGGCTGCTGGCCGGGTACGCGGCTGCAGGGCTGAGCCGGGCCGCGTGGGCTGGGATGAGCCCCCCGGGAGCCCCGGCGAGGGCGCCCGGCCTGGAGAAGAACCGAGCACTGGTGTGCAGGCTGCTGCGGCTCTCCGCGCCCGACCTGCCCTTGCTGGCGGCCGCCTTCTCCTTCCTGGCGGCTGCCGTGTTGGGTGAGTGGAGAGGCCCGGGCTGCAGGTGGGAGGGGCGCGGGCCAGCGCCAGCACCCGGCGTCCTTGCGGCCTCTTTCAGGGGAGATGCTGATCCCTCACTATTCTGGCCGCGTCATCGACATCCTGGGGGCGGATTTTGACCCCGACGCCTTTGCCAGCGCCGTCTTCCTCATGTGCCTGTTCTCCGTCGGGAGGTAGGTGAGGGCAGGTGGGGCCCTTCGTGAGCCCCGAGTCCTTAGCGGAGCCCCTGGCTTCCTAAGTCTGCGTTCACACACCTTTGTGCAGGAAGCGCGGAATGCTCAATCGGAAGTGTGCATGTGTTTGTGTATCGCTTATTCTGTTCTAGCCCTCCCTTCATTCCTCCAGTCACACTTATCCAACCCCCTGGAGTTCCTATTCTATTACTTACTGCAGGTGCCTGTATTCCGACGTTTGTACTCAAGTACGCGCATGGGTGGGCATCCATGTCAAATGCAGCAGTGTCTTTCAATGGCCTCTCATTTCTGCCTTCCTGAAACCCAGTTTCTCTCCAGCCTCCCAGCCCCAGGCCTCTCTACAGCATCCTTCCGGTTCTCCTCCTGACAGATTGGCCTCTCTCCTCCCGGACTCCCTCCTTCCTCTCTCATTTGGCCATCTCTGAAGCTGTCCCTTGGAGGTGATGAACGTCCTTTCTAGCAACTTTACTCTTCGCCTTCCTTGGCCACCTGCCCTCCCTTCGGCCTTGCTCATGGCTGCTGCGTGGCTGGCCTGGGACCGGGATGGGGTGAGCGGCAGCTGAGGTGCAGTCTCGGGAGGCCCTCACTCCCCTGCGCTCAGCCCGGCGCTGCTCCATGCTGCGTCTTCTCACTGGCCGTCTTTCATTTTGAAGACCCTCGGAGACCAGTGCCTGTGATCTCAGGCCTCTGGGAAGCTGAGGCGGGATGCTCAGTTAGAGCCCAGCCCGGGCAGTTCAGTGACTTAGGCAGACCGGCAGGAGTTATGTCTCCGAGGGTTCAGCACCACAAACAGAAAGCAAAACCAAACAACAACCAGGGCCTCGTTATGCCTCCATTCCGTTCTTGCCTCTTTCCATTGAAACCAACTGCTCACATATGAACTTCTGTTCCATCAGTGCCCTGTTTCATTTTTTAATCCTCCCTGAGTGAGACCTCAGTTCTTTCTGGCTTTTCTGTGCATTTGGCTCTTTCCTTTATTGATCCTTTGCAGTTAGCTTTAAGGACCCCCTTTCTATTTCCTCATCTGCTCAGCTTCCTTCAGAGAACTTTCCTCCTCTGGACCCTTAAATTTGGACTTTCTCTATGGCTCAGTTTTATCGTAATCTTTACGAGCATCTTCCGCATGGACCTAACTCCGTTCGGCACTGTGGCTGATCCCTAGACTCAGGTTCGCACGCTGAGCTCCGGCCCTGTGCTCCCAGCCGCCTCCGCATCCCTGTCATGCAGCCCGCTGTGACCTCACATTCCCGAATGGACTCCAAATCCATCTCACCCCATCCTGGTCTTCCTGAAAGAGACGTCCTCTTATTCTGACTCCCGAAGCCCTCAGTATTGCAGGGCCCAAGTATCAGCAGCACCGATGATGTCTCCCCCAACTCAAACGCCCACCCTGCCGTTTCCTACTTCCTGAATGTTTCTCCTGTGCTTGGCTCCTTCCTCTCCCTTCCACCCCGATCGTCAGAGTCCAAGAGCCTTATGAGTTCATGCGAGATTATCCCTAATGACTTTTGGATACGCTACCTCAGTGATGGCTTATGCTTTTTATGTTTCTACCTTTACATTTCATTGTGAAACACTGGTTTATCTAAGACGAGTTCTCTGGGGGTGGAAGAAGGGTCAGTGTGACTCTAGGGCTCTGGAGAACGGGAGGTCAGGGAGTTTTTCGCTGCGGTTCCCATAATGAAGTGTCTGTGACTATGAAAGACGGCTTTGCTGCCCGGAGGAAAAGAGACCAAGACAGAGCAGAGCAGAGGGGAGGGGAGGGGAGGGGGGGGACAACCCATGCGGAGGCGGCCAGGGGCGGGGCTGGGCTCTTTCTTCTCGGGTCTGCTTACCCTCGGCCCAGCCGCCCGAGTACTCGTGGATTCTCCGCGTTGTGAGCTGGTTCCCCCAGCTAGCCACCGAGGCCACCATGTCTTCTCTCTCCGCCTCCGGCTCTGCCTCCTCTTCCCTTTATTCGTGGTTTGCATTCTCCGCTGCCCTATTTCCTTTAACTCTGGCTTTCTCCTCTGCGTCTCTTACCTCTGCCTTCTCTGTGTCTGCTCTCCCCTCCCCTCCTCCGCACTCCTCCCGACCCGCAGCTCACTGTCTGGAGGCTTCCGAGGAGGCTTCTTTACCCTCATCATGTCCAGAATCAACCTGCGGATCCGAGAGAAGCTTTTCTCCTCCCTGCTGCGTCAGGACCTCGGCTTCTTCCAGGAGACTAAGACAGGTGGGGCCTGGGGTCCAGGGCAGGGCTTCCCCCGGCTGTCCCTTGTCCCTCGGTTCCCCGCCTGTTCGCTGGAGCCTCAGGTTCTCTCTTGGGACAGAGGACAAAGTGTCCACGGCTCTGCTAGAGATGGAGACTTAGGGGCGGGGCCGTGTCAGTGGGGCCTCTGCGGTGCAGCGTGCGGTGTCCTCACCCGCTCTGTCCCCCAGGGGAGCTGCACTCCAGGCTGAGCTCGGACACCACCCTCATGAGCTTCTGGCTTCCTTTAAACGCCAACATCATCCTCCGGAGCCTGGTCAAAGTGGTGGGGCTGTACGGCTTCATGTTCACCATTTCGCCACGCCTCACCCTCCTGTCTCTGCTCGACCTGCCCGTGATGCTGACTGCTGATAAGGTGTACACCACTCGCCGGCAGGTGTGTGGGGCCGCCCCCTAGCGGAGCCTAAAACTCAGGGGCAAGGCCTCGACGTTCCTGGCTCTTGGATGTCTTAGAGGGAGGTTTTCTCGCTTCAGCCCTTAGAGTGTGTTGTATGCTTGCGCCACGTTTTGCTTGTTCTGTCATCTTTTGATGGACATTGAGCTCTGTGACCCCTTGGCACTGTGACATGCATGTGTGTGTGTAAGTGGGGGCTTTTTTCTGGGGAGATGATACCTTTCATGAGCTTCTCAAAGGAGTCTGTACACATCCTCCCCACAAAAATTAAGTTTTTCCTTTAAAATCAGCAGAAGGAGTTTGGCTGGAGTGCAGCGGAAGCAGGAAGTGAGTTGGGAATTTTGAGTCTGAATGTCTGCTAAACTTGTGTTCTTTCTCTCTTGTTGTGGTTAAAACACACATAACCTAAACTTTGCTGTTTTGGTCAGTGTTAGTTAGGTGCGCAGTTTGGTGGCAGCGAGCACATCACATTGTTGTGCTGCATCCACCGTTGCCGTCTCCCTTTGGAACGGTTCTTCCTGAAATGAAACTCTGCCCCCATGAAACCCTGAGGGCCGCTCCCTTGGCATTCTACTTTCTTCTCCGTGAATTTGGTTACTCCAGGAACCACCCTGAGTGGAACCCTATGGTTGTTGTCTTATTGACTGGCTCAGTTCACTAGCAGAAGCTTTTCAGGGTGCACCCACGTTGTAGAACATGTCAGAATTTCTTCCCCTGTAAGGCAGAATGATGCATGTGTAGACCACATTTTGGTGACCTAGCCATTGGCCGATGGCCATTTGAGAGGTGACTAGCTATGGTGAATAGGGCTGCTATGAACATGGGTACAAATATCTGTCTTGGAGCCTGCTTTCAGTTCTTCTGGGTATATACTGAGGAGTAATTGCTGGGTAATATGGTGATTCTCTTTTCCACATTTTGAGGAACTGCTTTATTGTTTTCCATAGCAGCTTCGCAATTAGTTTTCACCAGTAGTGCACAAGGTCTCCAATTTCTTCGCACTGCTGTCACCACTTAGTATTATTATTATTTTTTTCATGAATAGTAGCCACTCCAGTGCTTGTAATGCATTGCATTTCCCGATAATCGGGGATGCTGTGCTTGTTGGACATCTTTGTTCAGTGCTGGGAATTGAACCCAGGGCCTCATGCCAGGCAAGAACTCTGCCACTGAGCTGCCCCCCAGCCCCATATGGGTCATTTTTATTTTAATAAGTTTTATTTTATTTTATCCCATTCCTCCCTCAAGGCCCCTCCCCTCCCTATGTGCAAATGTGTTGTTTCCGTTTTGTCCATCTATTTTCACTTGATTTTCTTGTCCCTTCTTTTCTCCCTCCCTCCTCCCTTGTTCCCCTTCTCACTTTCTTCCCATTTCCCAACATCCATTATACATCCCAGTCTTTATTTCCACAGGATGTTTTTATTTATTTGGACAAATAAATTTCCTTGGCCTTTTTTAAATTAGGTTTTTTGTTTATGTTGAATTGTAGGAGTTCTTGATATTTTTTGGATATTAATCTCTTATCAGACATATGATTTAAAAATATTTTCTTGCATTTTGTGGAGGTCTTTTCACTGTTGATAGAGAGGACTGTGACAGCCCAAAACTTTTAATTTTGATGAAGTCTGGTTTACCTGTCCTTTATTGCCTGTAGTTTTGGCATATCTAAGAGATCACTGCCAAATCTAGTAGCCTTACAAAGCTTTTCTTCTGTGAGGGTTTTGCTGCATTTTGAATCCATCTCCACCTTAGCTGGCCGTGGCTCCTCGGCTCCCTACTACCTCCTCACCAGTCACTGGGGGTGGAAGAGTTACCTTAAATGGAGGTTAGAAAAGGAGCATTTATCTCCTCCACTGCCTGCAGCTCAGTGATGTACTGTCCCAGCCCTCCTTAGGCTGCGTTCCTCCTGGTGAGCAAAGTGAGGGCGAGGGGCAGCAGAGCAGTTGGACGCTTTTAGGTGGGGCAGGGACCCCAGGGCTGGAGTGAGAGCTGCAGGTCTGCCGTCTTCCCGGCCTTGACGAGGCCATCCACCCCCACTCTTCCAGGCCCTGCTGCTGGAGATCCAGGACGCAGTGGCCAAGGCAGGGCAGGTGGTGCGGGAGGCAGTTGGAGGGCTGCAGACCGTGCGCAGTTTTGGGGCCGAGGAGCTTGAGGTCTGGCGCTATAAGGAGGCCCTGGAGCGATGCCGGCAGCTGTGGTGGCGTCGAGACCTGGAAAAAGGCCTGTACGATCTGGTCAGGAAGGTGAGAGGCCCCGTGCTGGGGAGATGGCCGGGAGGGAGGGCGGGGTGAGGAGCGACTGCTGGTTCTGGGGGCCCTTGCGCCGCTGCCACCGGGTCTCACAGGGGCAGGGAGGGAAGGGATGACGGACGCTCTCATCCTCAGCTCTCCCTTCTTCTCTCCCAGCTGCTGAACCTGGGAGCGCAGGTGCTGGTGCTGAGCTGTGGGCTGCAGCAGATCGCGGCCGGCGAGATCACCCGCGGTGCGCTGCTGTCCTTTCTGCTCTACCGCAAGGACGTGGGGCCCTATGTGCACGTAAGTGAGGAGCCACGCTCTCTCCCACCTCTCCTTTGCTCTCTCTCTGGGTCTCAGGCTTTATTTATTCTCCTTAAAAATACAGAACAGAACATAAGACGCAAGCTAATTCTGTAATGGTGACTTTCAAACATATTAAAGACGAAACAAATGTAAGAACCTGCATGTACCCAGTACCTGCATCAGCAATGTCGTAATCTGTTTGATCTGTGCTCCTCCCCACTTCTCACCAGGATTATTTTGATTCAAATTCAAGATACGTAATTCACATTCAAGAGTATATAATATCTGTACAATAAAATCATCTAGCATAATGCATAACCTCATAGTCATTATAACTTCTAAAAATTGACAACAATTCTTAAAATTGACCAAATGTAGTCACTGGTCAAGTTTCTACCTGTCTTAGACACGATGCAGTAGCTCACGTAAGGATCCAGATAAGGTCCACTCGTTATGATTTGCTGATATGTCTTTTAACTCTCTCTATCTAAACTTTTTTCTTGTATTTATTTGGTGAGGAATAGGTTGTTTGTCCTGTAGCATTTTTGTCCTGTTGGATTTCTTTGATCGAATGCTTGTGGTATTAATATGTTCCTCTGCCTCTAGAATATTTCCTGCCCATCGGTAGATAAATCTAGAAGCTTGTGAGTTTCCAGTTTTCTCTTTTTTTCAGAAGTGTACTCTCTAGGTGATGGTGTGTTCTTCCGGCGGGAGATACTCAGAGTCTCTTTGGTGGCATCAGCCATTGGTGCTCGGTGCCCAGTCCTTTAAATTGTGACAGTTGCGTGATGGCGGTGTCCAGCATTCCCCATCTGTGACTGGAATACCTCAGTCTTGGGAGACTGGTCCTCGCCCACCTTTGGGTTATTGGGGGCTGTGGTTTGATGGGGAATGGTAGAAAAAATATTTGTTCTTTTCTCTATATTTACCAGTTTTCAGAAATAGTCACTTCATCTTGAGCTTTACAAAAGTAATTTCCAAGACACTGATTAGCCGTCTTCCATGTGTGAAGACTAGCTAGACACTCTGGTGCCCATAAAAGTGAGTCACACACAGTGCTGGCTTTTAAGGTGTTGCCCACCTAGGCCAGCAAGACAGCTCTGTGCAGGAGGAGTGCAAAAGGAGAGCTGCAAAGGCCTGGGGATAGAAGAATGCTGGGTGGTCAGTTTGGGCTTTGCATCCTTTCCGCTGTGAACTGGAGCACTGAGCAGCTGTCGTCCCTTTAAAATGCCACCTAGATTGTACATTGCAAGGCTGAGGACACTCCCTCAGGAAGGCAGAGAGGCCACGTGGAGTGTGTGAGGAGGGTGTGTGAGGAGCTGAGGCATTGACTCTGGTGAGATGGTTGTCCAGCTGACCTGTCCGTGCCTGTCTTCCAGTCCTTGGTGTACAGGTACGGGGACATGCTAAGCAACGTGGGAGCTGCTGAGAAAGTGTTTTCCTACCTGGACAGAGAGCCCCGGCTGCCTCAGCCCGGGACACTGGCCCCTGCGGCGATTCGGGGCCTCGTGGAATTCAGAGATGTCTCCTTTGCATATCCCAGTCGCCCTGACCAGCCGGTGCTCCAGGTGCCTGAGAGAGGCCACAGGGCGGGAACGTGGGTCCTTCGTTCTCTGCTGTTAGTGGGTGATCACTCATAGATCACTTGCTTTTGAGAAGGGGGTCTTCTCCTAGGAAGAGAAGAGAGGCCTCCCCTAAGGAAAGTGGCTTGGCCTTAAAGCTTTCCTGTTTCTCCAGGGCCTGACATTCACCCTGCGTCCCGGGGAGGTGACGGCCCTGGTGGGACCCAATGGCTCTGGGAAGAGCACCGTGGCTACCCTGCTGCAGAATCTGTACCAGCCCACGAAGGGCCAGGTGCTGCTGGACGAGAATCCTGTCTCAGAATACGAGCACCACTACCTGCACAGACAGGTGGGCGGGAGGTACGCCGGGCAGTGGGTGGGGGAGAGGGGCCCATGGGAATTGGCAGTGGGTCCACTGGTGGGGAGGCAGGTGAGGGGGAAGGGAGGGTCGCTGCCCTGCAGTTACGCCCCGCCCTCTCCCCTCCCCGCTTGCCAGGTGTCTGTGGTCGGCCAGGAGCCTGTGCTGTTCTCAGGCTCTGTGAGGGACAACATCACCTACGGGCTGCAGAGCTGTGAGGACGCTAAGGTGGTGGCTGCTGCCCAGGAGGCCCTTGCCTACCGCTTCATAGAGGAGCTGCCGGACGGAATGCACACGGGTATCTGCTCAGATCAGGACCTACCCTTGCCCTCACCGGGACAAGGGCTGCGTCCCCCTGATCCGTGTTAGCTCCTCCCCTCTTTTTCCCTTTGCTCCCACTCCCTGGTTTCCCCACCCCAAGCATTCTTCAGCCTCCATCTTGCTGGAGAGTCTTTGTTCCCAGGGGGCAGCAGAGAAGTAGCTGCCTCCTCCATGGCAGCTCCAGGGTCCCACCCGTGGCCCTCCTACCTCCTGACCGGCTGTATAGGAACCAGCCATCGTACAGTTGTTCCTTTTTGTGAGGAGGGTGCTGTCCTGGTAGCCTGTGTCTGAGGAGGCCATTTCTCTGATTTCCTCAGATGTAGGTGAGAAAGGGAGCCAGTTGGCTGTGGGGCAGAAACAGTGTCTGGCCGTCGCCCGGGCCCTTGTGCGGGACCCACGCGTCCTCATCCTGGATGAGGCCACCAGTGGCCTGGACGTCTGCTGTGAGCAAGCTGTGAGTACCGGGAGGGGCAGGGAACAGTGTGATCTGGAAGATCAGATTCGCAGGATCGGCTTGTGTGGAACTGGGAGGGGGATGAATAGCCCGTCAGTGGAAAGAGTGGCTGCCTTTGTCCGGCGGGGAATGGAGCGGAGGACGCGGTGGTGGGAGGCATCCTTGACTGCTTCCAAGCTGCCTCCCCATCCTGGGGGCAGCAGATCAGCGGAGAGGGAGCAGCAGGGCAGACCGTGACTACTGCCCTTTGCAACTTCACATCTTCTTTGCCCTGAGTCCAAAGAGGTGGTGCCCAGCTGGGTTCTGGTGTCCACCCATTCTTACCTTTCTGAGCACTGTGATCCTGCCCCTTCAGCTGCAGGCCTGGAAATCCCGCGGGGACCGAACGGTGCTGGTGATCACTCACAGGGACAGCACAATTCAGAATGTTGACTGGAAGCTGGAGCTCAGGAAGGGGGAGCTTGCGGACTGCGTCCAGCTCAGGGAGGGCTAGGACCTCAGCCCTCACCTGGCGCAAGGCAGCGGCCTCCGGACAATGGGCCTACTTAGGGCTGTCTCCAGAATGCCAACACCGAGTGCCTCAGGCTCTGAGTTTTTCTGGGGCTGTGCCCCTGGGTGGTTGTTCCTGGAGCTGGAGGTGTGGTGCAGATTTAGACCACGGGTGCTTTTGATGTGCTGAGCTGTGTAGGAATGAGGGGATGGGGCGTAGTCTTTGGGTGGGTTGGGTGTCATCTGAGTTTATAAACCTCATCACTTAGGTGAAGAGAGCTCTGTCTGGTACTGAGTAGTGCATGTGGTGTAATAAAAACATGCAGAATGCTTTACTTGTTATATATGTGCACATTCGTATATAAATTTGGAAAATACAGAAAAGTTCAAAGAAGACAAGTAAAACCACCCATTGTTGCACTTCCCAGAGATAACCATCTTTGGTGTTTTGCTGGCTGTCTTTGAGATATTAGTTAACCAATGTGACATAAATAACGTTGCCTTTCTGTGTCCTTCTCCATTCCCACCAGTGCCTGGTATTTCGGGGGAAGCTAAGCCATGGCCAGACAGAACACAGTTTCTAAGTTAACAGTGTTAATAATAACATAGCTACCATTTGTGGAGTTTAAATATGAATGGGAATTATGCTAAGTATTTTTTGTATGTTATCATTTTTAATACTTCACCCTGTGAGGTTGGTTATTCTTCATTACTCCCCATTTACAGATGAGGAAACTAAGGATCAAAGAATCAAAAAAATTATGTGACTTTCCCAGGGTTCCAGGGTGGTGGAACTCGTGTTTGAATCCAGACTTGACCCTCAAGTCCACACTGAATAAATTACTGTGTATTGCATCTTGTGTCCATCCTGGCTCCACTCCACAGTCAGATCAGGCAGAGCTGGGTTGCTCCTTGCTCCAGGTGGCTCTGAATCTGCTGTCTTTGCTTCAGGTGTGACTGACTCCCTTCAGGCTCAGGTTCCTGTCTCCAGGCTGCCCTGCCTGGTCCCCTCTCCCAGCCATTCTTCCACGAACTCACTTTTCTTTCTAGAAGCTGCTCATGATGGGGATGATGTCACTTGTAGAAGCTGCTTCCTGTATCCTCATTTCTTCTGCTCAGGTCCTTTGCAGAGCATACGAGGGTCCCCAAACTCCTGTCCCCTTTCCTGGTGCATTCACTGTCAGCCTCTGTGAACTTCCTGCCCTCCCTGGTCTCCTGCTCAGTCTCTGCATCACCCTCCGATGCTTTCCCATAGCCTTAAGACTTAACCAGGCTTCAGAGCTTCCAGGAAGCCTTCCTTATTTCCTCTGTTGCCTGAGGCTTACCTTTTTTGCAGCCTTTATTAAACTACCCCAGGCTTTTGTCCTCTAGACCACAGCTCCTGCTGGGAAGATCATTTAGCTTCTGTTCCCTGTCTGCCACCTGGCACATGCCTGAGCCACAGTAGACAGTAATCAGTGTCTGTGGGGCGTGAATGAATCTCAGTCCTCCCTGTGTAAACCGCCTGCTGAGAATCCAACACTACACGTGACTGGCTGCTGGGAGGAACTCACCTGGGAAGGCTCCTGTTCTAGGAAAGAGAAACTTTTGTATCCTGGAAACAGCAGGTACTTTCCAGGGCTAGCAGTGAATGTGCTGAGCTGCTGCTTTGGACTTGCTCCTGCCTGGCAACTGTTGGCAGCAGGTGGGGCGAGAGTGGGAAGCTTCGTAGGCAGATCGTATGCCTCTGTCTCATCTGCTGCTGCCTGGCAGCTCACAGCCACCTGCTCCCAGATCCCAGCACATGTGAAAGGCCTTTGGAGAGAGAAAGCTGATTCCTTTCCTTCCCCATACAGTGTCCTTTTTGTGTAAGAGGGAGAGAATAGTTATTGCATCTCCCAAGTTTATGGGAGCTGCAGCCCTCACAGAAGTAGACAGTCTTGTAAAGTCTCTGATTTTCTCAGTAACCCCATGGATCCTTGCACCTGGAAGGCATACTGAGAACATAACAGCCAGGTCTTCTTTAGGTAGGGAAACTGGAGAGCTGGGAGGAAAACTTAGGTGTTCAGACAGTACAGGAAGATGCAGTAGCCTTAAGGATCTTAAGGTCTTTATTCACTTCTACCCCATCACTGTGTCATTTCCTTACCTCAGAGTTTCTCTTTCTTGTCACTTACTTTCAGTATCTCTCCCATCCCACCAGGTCCACTCTTTCAAAGGAAAATACAAATGGAAAGAGGAACCCTTAGGAAAACAATCAGTTTCTTTGGACTTCCAAACAACTCCCTACCCTGTCTGCCTTGCCCTGTGTGGAAGCAGCATTGAGCTTCAAGTCCTGATGCCTCCACCCAGTAGGATAGTCGCTTGGAGACCACATGGGTAGATTGTAGAGTTGTCAGAATTTTGTGGAGAAAGGACCAGGGAATGCGGGGAAAGACCTTCCTTGCTGTTTTGGTGTTGTGATCCACGGTATCACCCATTTGAGTCTGGTGCCATCTAGTGGTGCTAGGAAACATTGGGTTTTGAATCGAGTTTTATGGAATCTTATAAATTACAATTCTAATAGTAATCATTATTCACTGGGTGCTTATTGTGTGCTATGGCTGTGCTAATTAATGCCCAATGTATTTCTCCTTTCTTTATCATCAAGATAATCCTATGAAGCAGAGAATACTATCCTAATTCTAGGAATGAGAAAATGGAGTTTTAGACTGGGTTACACAGGTAAGAACAACTCTGAAAAAAAAAAGTTGTCTATATTTTCTGCATCTGCTTATTTTTCTACAACTCTCTTCTTAAAGACACTATTTATTTAAATAGGTCATGATGGCCAGGAAGCAGAGAGAGACGAGTGGATCTAGGGAAGGAGATAATCTTTCTAGTCATACCATGACCCTCTTCTAACCAGGTGCCACCTCCTAACAGCACACTCAGCTGTTCAACTCATTGGTGGACAAATCCACAGATGAGTATTGCACTCTCATGGTCTGATCACTTTCCACAAGACTTGCTCTGCATGCATGAGAGTTTAGGGGACATTCTAGATGTAAACTCTAACATTCTGCCCCGGCCCCTGGCCATCTCTTAATGCAAAATGCATTTAGTCCATCAACCTTTTAACAATACCAACATTACTGGAAAGCACAAGTCCTAAGCCTCCTCTGAGACTCAAGAGGAGCCCCTGTTACAATAAAACAGAAACTTAGCTGTGAGGCTCTGTTACAATAAAAAAGAATGTTAGAACACAATATACAGTGGCACAGGATAAGTGTTCCCATTGCAAAAGGGAGAAATAAGGGAATATATAGAAATGAGACCAAAGGAAGACAAAAACCCACCAGGGCAAACATTAAATCCTGTAGCTCTGTGACTGGACCCTGGGTAAGTTGTGACAGGTGATCTTCAAAAGGCTTGGGAGTCTTGCTCCTATGGTGTTGCTTGTAGCAAGTCTCTTGGTCTCTCTCTTGGAGTGACTCCACTCAGAGCCTCTGTCTTTCCTTAGCAGATACTCCGTGTTTCTGTTATCCCCAACTTCCCGGGTCTCCACTGTAGTTTCAGCTTCACTCTCACAGCTTCACACACTGCCCTCTCAAGGCACACTGCCTAGTCTCCAGAATCTTCTTCTGAAATGCGGGTGGAAGTCTCCCTGACACCACAATTCTTGCATTCTGCCTTCTTGTTAAACTGGGACCAACCACATGGATGATGCCTTAGTCTGCCCCTAGCTCTAGCAGTAGCCAGGATCCCTTGGATCATGGCTATAACAACCTATGAATGCCTGGATACTTGAACTCCAGGAAACCTGGAGTTTGAGTTGGCCTTGAATGAACTGGGTGGGCTCCCTGGAAATTCTTTCTCAATACAAAGTTTTTCACTTTTGCACTTTTAAGCCAAGGAAGGCTGGGGTCTTGCTGATTCCTGAGATGTCCTCAAAGCATCTTTCCTTTTGTCCTGATACAAAGTACTTGGCTTCTTTTTAATGCTAAACTGTTCAGCAGCCCCAACTTTACAGGCCCAGACTTTACAGGTGCTTCCTTTCTGGCCATCAGGGACAAATTTCAAATTAGTCATTCCTGCTTTTTGGTCCTTATTATCACCATAGATATGGCTCAAAGCAGCCAGCAAATCCCTTGCCACAGACTCAGTGTTGGGCTACCTGGGACTTCCTCATTCAGATTAATTAGCCCATCACTTTTGATTTCCCACAACGTCTTGGAACAAAAATAGAGACAAATTTTCTGCCAGAGCATAACACACATGGCCTTGGATCCAGTTGCCAATGGAGTCCTTGTTGCCAGCTGAAACTTCCTGAGCCCAGCCTTTACTGTTCACATTTCTATTGGGATTCTGGTCTTCTGAGCTCTGACCAGAAGAATCTCCCATCAATCTGGTTTGGCTCGCGGCATTCTAGGGCTTCTCTAGCTGGGATCTCCAAACCTTTTCAAACTGCTCCCATAAACCAGTTCCAATTTTTTCTCAACCAAATGGTCAGGTAGAGTCATATCAACAACCCTAGTTCCTTGGTACCAAAGTCTATCTTAGTCACTTCCTTCATTGGTGAGACAAAATCCCTGATACCCACAACTTAAATGAGGAGAGGTTTATTTGGGCTCATGGTTTTTTGAGGCATTAGTCCATAGTTGGCTGGCTCCAAGACAGAATGGCATAGCATAAGGGAGGAGTGGAGGAAAGCTCCTCACTTCATGGTGGCCAGGGAGAAGAGAGGAAGGAGGAGCCGTGGAGGAAGGTATACCTTTCCTAGTCACACCCTCAGTGACCCTTCTCTAACAAGAACCTACCTCCTAACAACACATTCAGCTGCTCAACTCATTAATGAATGAATCAGTTGATGAATATAACACTCTCATAATCCAGTCATGTATTACAAGGCCTGCCTCTGCATGCATGAGGGTTTTGGGGGAACATTCATGATCTAAACCCTAACACCTTGCTAAGTATCTGAAAAGCTACAATTTAAATAAGCACAAGGAAAGCATAGTGAAAGATTAAAAAAAAAGAAATACTCATATTAACAGTGTACATAGTAGAAGAGAATAATGTTTTGGTCCATTTTGTGTTGTTATAAAAAGATGCTGAAGTCTGGGTATTATATAAAGAAAAGAGGTTTATTTAACTCATAGTTCTGGAAATCCAAGAGCACTGTGCTGGCATCCCAGCTGGGCTCCCCCATGGCTGTGTCACAACATGGAGAAGCAGAAATGGAACTGGCTGTGTGCAGAAGGAGTCAAATACATGGGTTGACTTTGCTTTATAATAACCTATTCTCTCTAGAAGTAACTCGCTCCAGGAAGCCAGCATTAATCCCTTCTGAGGCAGTATCACCCAGATTATCTTCCCCTACTTCTCCCTCTTATAGGTTCCACCACCTCTCAGCATCTCTACTCAGCTTGAAGGGCACTGTTGGCAGACACAGTCAAAGCACATCCAAAATATAGCAATAATATCTCCAAATCACACTAAATCTAGTTTCTATATTAACAATTGTAAATGGGTTTAAATCAATTATATAACTACTTTATATTTATATTAAAATAAAAACTCTGTTGTATGTAATATATAAGATATACCTAAAATGAAGTGACTCAGAAAGATTTGTTCAACAACTAAAATGATGGGCAAAGACATGAGAGACTGCAAACCAAAAAGTAGCAGAGGGTACAATCTTATTATTAAGTAAGGTAAAATATAGATGAAAAAGTTGAATGACACAACAAGAATACAAATGTAAATTTTATAGGGATATAGAAGAGACATATATTTAAGTTCTAAATAACAAACAACTCTCATAAAGGAGAAAGTAAGATCGATACAAGGAAAATATTCAAATATATACTACTATTAAGGAATTTGAATCCCCTTTTCCAGGACTAGACAGGTCAATTGGACAAAAATAAATATGAAACAGAAAACATTACTGACAGTCAAAAACTAGAGAGCTGGGAGTGTAGTACAGTGGCAGAGCATGTGCACAAAGCCCTGGATTTGACACTTACCCTAGCCCAAAACAAAACAAAACAAAATCAAATATTATGGAGTATATTGGACTCAATTCACTGAAAACAGACCATGCCTCTATCCAACTTTCAACAAGGCATTCATGAAAGTAAATCAAATATTATGGCATAAATCTTCAATCAGTTTAGAAAAGTAGGAATGATATAGAAATTATTCTTTGACTGTTATGAAACAAGCTAGGTAACAGTAAGAAAATCAGACAAGATAAAATGCTTCTTCATGTGGATACTTAAAGATATTGGCTCTTTCTTTTACCAGATAGAAAAACATAAACAAAAATTTCTTGAAAAATGATAATTAAAATCACATAAATATTTTGGGATATAGCTAAAGCAGTGCTTATCACTTTATAGCCTTAAGTACTCATATAAAAAAAGGAAAAAGGAAACCAAATGAATTAAGTAGAAACATTAACATCAATCAAATAAAAGCAGTAGATAATAAACAACAGAAACTGATAAGTTAGAAAAATAAAATGTAAAATGAATAAATTCAGAAGCTTTAGAAAATTCCAGTTTGACAAACCAAGAAAGACAAATATAGAGAAGTTTAAAGTAAAGAAAATAAATAACAAAGACAAAATTAAAGCAGTAACAAAGGGAAAATAATGAGATTTTTTTTTGTTCAATTTTATGGAAATAAATTTGAAAACTTGGGTTACATGAATACTCCCTTGAAAAATATAACATATCAAATTAAGCTCTATTTTCACAGAAAAATAGAGAAAGTTGTAAAAAGATTACCACCCAAGCTCTATGCCCATATTTAGGGTAATGTGTAACAAAATCTTTAAAGGAAAAAAAGATAATTCAAAATTTAAAACAACTCAATAATACAAAATAATTCTTTTAGTGAAGTTAATTATGTTAAACTATGATAATGCACAAAAATAAAAGCTATAGATGAATTTATTTTATATTGATGAAAACATCCTAAATAAAATATTGCAGATTCTAGCACAATTAAACACACATACACTGGGATTATGTTAAATAGAATGGCTGGAAATCCTTTTTGAAGTTCATTATATTAGTGATTATTTTCTTTATTTTGGTACCGGGGATCAAACTCAGATCCTTGAGCTTGCGAGGCAGGTGGCAGACCTACTGAGTTAAATCCCTGGTCCTTAGTGATTATTTTCTAGGAATGATAAGTTCAAATGAATAAGCAGAACAAAATACTAATGACACTTACTTTTCCAGGACAAAGCCATCATAGTTGATAGTGTCACATATTATATGCATGTCAATACTAGTAGGGAGACCCATGCAGAAGTATATCAAGGAATTAGTTGCTGATTAGAGCTTGTAGCTTTTGCTTCCTCAGTTTACAAATAGTTTCCTACTGGGTAGGATCATGAATTTCCTTTATATTCCAAAAATTCTAACTATTTCTGTTGTTTTTTTGTATAATTTCATTCTTTCTTGTCATGTGAATACCTCTCTCTTATTTGGGGCTCCAATCACTACTGAGGGAGAATTAAACAAATGTTTTGAGCTGGCAGTGTTCTTAACTTCAGTTAAACTGTAGTTCAACACAGTGTTCTCTGAAATTGCTTTAATTTTCTGACTAGGAACTGTGAATATTTTTATAGACCATCCAAAGAAGGCTTGATTTTGTTACTGGTGATAGGAAGGAGTAGAAAGGAAAAAATGAATTTAAGTGAACAGTTCATTTCAATTTTAAAGTCACTAAGCAACTGAAAGGGGGTATTTATGTTAGACTATAGGAAGAACAATGACTTTATACCATCCTCAAAAAACCACCCACATACTCACATCCAGCATCTCTCATTCTCCAGAGAATGTGGAGAGAAAAAGGAAGAGAAATGCAAAATAGACACTTGAGTGAAAAATCCTAGAAAAGACATATCTGTATTAGTAGACTTCTTGACTGAAGACAGGAAGATAAAGATCAAAACACTCTGGATCCTGGTTGTTATGGCTTGTGTCTAGATGTTCCCCCAAAGCCTCATGTGCTCATAGATGGGGCTTCTTGGAGGCGGTTGGATCTAGGGTTTGTGAATATGGATTAAGGGTGTATGATACTAAATTAATTCACTGATTGGTTTAGCATAGTTTTGGGTGTGGATAATAGGAAGGCCCATCCTAGATTTAGGTAGCAACATCCAAAAGGCTCATAGCCTGTATGGGATAAAAAGGAAAGGGAAGTTTGCTTTGCTGCTTGCTGCCTTCTGCTTACCCTGCCATGGACTGTTTCTCCTCTGTGATGTCCCTCTGCCATGCTACCCTTCCTTGGAGCCAGTCAACTATGGAGTAAAACCTCTAAAAGTTGTGAATGGAAATAAATGTTTCCTCCTTTATCTTGTGGGTGTTGGATATTTTGTGCCAGTAATGACAAAAATAACTAAAACACTAATAAAAGAGGAAGAAGAACTAAACAATATTCTTCAAAGTGGAGAAGAAGAGAGAAAAGTAAAAGGATTCATGTCAGGAGCAATTCTACTTTGATGAGGCCTAGTTCTCCTGCTTACAGGCCAGCTAAGGCATTTCGAGACATAACTCTATTTTGGCCTCCACTCAGAGCTAAGACCTCAATGGTCCCGTGATGCTGTGATGCTCCAGGACAAGATTACACCAGCTGAAGACATCTTGGGAGGAACAAAATCTTCATCTGCATAGTTCCTCATTGTTCTAGGATTTCCACTGCACCCCCAAGTCATTAGTTACATTTGTTTCTCCCGAGGTACTGAATAAGGGTGGGGCAAGCTTGGGGGTCTTTTGTCTTTGCTGTCCAGAGCAGCACTGATCAGGCCCAAAGCTCAGCTTCTTCTCAGTCTCATTTTTTCTACCTTTCCTGTATAATAAGTTAATTCACCTTGTGCTATTGTGGCTCGCAGGAGACTAGGACTTACTGCAGAGGTTCTAGTAACGTCCCCTTTCCCTGTTCCCTACAGATTCATAATAAGCAACTTGCTTAGTTCTTTTAGGACCTCATACTAGGTAGGAAGGAGAAAATATATATATATATATATATATATATATATATATATATATTTTCTTAATCCCAGCCCATTTCTGACATACCTGTACTACTATCAGTGATATTTGCAGGTAACTACCAACCACTCCTTGAGTGATGTAATACAACTTTATGACATATTCTGCCCAGCACCTAATGATGCAGAACTCTTCTATTTTGATTGGTTAGCAGTCTGAGGAAGTTTCCAGCCCAAGGAGGCCAAGAGTTATTTATACTCATAATAAGTAGCTTCTTGGTTGAGTCGTGCAGAGACGAGCTCCATTCTAAGAAGCCGATCATTTTTACTGTTATCCTTTCCCCTTCAGAATGGGTTCTGGTTGGGTGAGCTGCATGCTGGTTCCACTAGTAAGTCTGATCAGGCTGGAGTCCTCCACAACAGAAGGCAGAGACTCTCCAGGTAAGAACAGGGCAACTTTCTTCTGGGTGTTTATGCTAGAAGTGGCATGAAGGGGGCTTTCCCTGTAGGTCCAGGCAGTAGAAAGTGTAGAAGTGGCTTCTGGTCTCAAAGAGCAATTTTCTTCCCATTGACAGAAGAAAACTCTTTCCCTCTTTTCCACGCACAACGGACTTCCTGGAAAAAGGACTTCTGGCACCATAGATGCAGACCCAAGGAGTAGGGTGTTAGGAAAAAGGGAAACATATTGTCAGGAAACATTTTGTTCTTTATTATATCAACATCAGTCTCAAAAACATAAAGTTGGAAGCAGTCTGAGAATAGCTGCCATCCTTAAGCCAAGAGTTCATTCTGATGATCATGATTGTTTCCGTATTTATCTAATGGGGAGATATGTTGACAAATGAAATTGGAAATTTATTGGTTATTTACTAAACTCCTATTATATGGTCAAAATTGTAGTGAGCAGTTTTGAGAAGTGTGAGAAGGTGAATACACCAATTACCCTTGTCCTCAGATTATTAGGTACACGTTAATTTATCACTGATTTTTCTAGTTGAGGAGACAGGCTAGGCAAACATGAAGAAATGTTAGGCATGAAAGCACATATTTAAGAACAGAAACAGGATGTAAAGTGCTAAGAACAGAATTCTCTTTAAATGTCAAAATTTTACTAAGAACAAAAGAGGAACAAACCTGGGGGGAGAGCATCACTGTCCTTAGAGAATATAAACCATCCTGAGTGTATAATGCCCTATAAACCATGCAAGTGAAAAAATCAGCATAGATTTTAGATGATAAAAACTTCAGATATTTTTCTCATTTCAACTGTAAGAGGAAATAGATAATGATATAAGTGCTGAGGAATTGGAAGTTGGAACTTCTGCTGGACCCAGCTATTGAATGAGAGATGAGCCTGCTCGGCCCAGGAAGGTCATCCTGATGGCTCAGCGCAGGACTCCCAGAACTTAGAAATGAAAGAAAATTTAGTATTCAAGGTCAATAGCTAATAGCCTTCTAGTCTCAAGTGCTATTTCTTCAGAAAGATGGGTCCTGACCTAGCTTGGACTTTCCTATGATTGGTATCACTCTCAAGTGCATAGAATTGAGTTCCTCTTGCTCAGCAGGCTCACTGGGCACTGTGATCAGTGGTCAGTGGAGGGATGCTCCTTTCTCTTCCCTTGTCTTCATTGCTTCCTTCCCTTTCCATAGAGAGCCACTCTAGGTGTGCCTGGTATGTCATACCCATGAAGGCTGCTTTCGAAAATATGTAATGTTGTTTTTCTGTGCGTATTTAAATGTTTTGTAAGTGTCATCGTGCATCAAATCACATTCTGTTTCTTATTTCGCAACACCATGCTTTTGAGCTATGGAGTCGAAAAGGCCTCCATGTGGTCTGACATAATTTCCTAGGTACTGGATTTCCTGGAGGTAGGGATTGATTCATGGTCCTTCTTGGTTTTTCAGAAGATTTTGTGATTCAGGCAAAGGCTGATTGTTACTTCACGAATGGGACGGAAAAGGTGCAATTTGTGGTCAGATTCATCTTCAACTTGGAGGAGTATGTACGATTCGACAGTGATGTGGGGATGTTTGTGGCATTGACGGAGCTGGGGAAGCCCGATGCTGAGCACTGGAATAATCGGCCAGACATACTGGAGACAAGCAGGGCATCCGTGGACATGGTCTGCAGACACAACTACAGGCTGGGGGCTCCCTTCACCCTGGGGAGGAGAGGTGAGGTGGAAGGCAGGGTCTGCTGGGGTTCAGGAGTCTGCCCCACGGGGCCCTGGCCATGGCTCTTCTTCAAAAGTCTGCTTCAGGATAAATGGGTTCCATTAGGGACATGCATGTGTTCTGTCCCCAGTGATGACTCATTCATCACCCTCACAGGTCAGGTCTTGGTCCTACACTATTCCCCCCAATATAAGACTGGGTCTTATATTTATCTTGCTCCAAAAGATGCCATTAGGGCTTATTTTCAGGGGATGGCTTATTTTTTTGGGTATAACAAGCTACATTTATTCATGTACAGAAATCTACATTTCTTCATGTACAAAAGTCTACATTTACTCAAATACAATCATGTCATCTTCTTAGGGAACATCATCTTAGCTCTTCATATCCTGAATTCTGGCCTGAATTTCCTGAGATTCCATCTCCTGTGGAACCATTGGCCCAATCTCTGGTGTCCAGCAACAGAGCTCTCCTTAAATCTGCACTTTTTGTCTGTGTACCCTGCTTGTAGTGCATTGGCAACACGGCTGCCAGTGATTTTATCCCATGAATTCTTCATCTAAGGCACAACCTCTTACAGGCTGGACTTCACGAAGTTTCCCTTAAACCAAGTGTTACGAGATAGGAGTGGCAAAAAAAAAATGATGGTAGTTAAGAATGATGGTCCCCATAAAAGCCATGAAAAATTGCAGGCACCAAAATTCAAAAATTGTTTCTTTATTTCACATGAGTGCATTCAATGTGTCTGTTACAACACATGAAATAATGAATTATGAAGATTCATGTTCGACACAGCCACCTCTGTTCATTATCAAGTGTGCACGTTATTCATGTGCTGTGTCTGAGCTCCGATTGGTCATTCAGCAAGAAGTCTTGAATTTATCTGCGCAAATAGGCATTTATTTCTCATTCAAAGGCACACGGTTGGGTATTTACAAATACTTATTGACAAATACTTATCTATTGGACAATCTGGGAAAGAGATCTGGGAGAGGGATAGTCTGAAAACCTCCTGCCCTGGCTTGCTGGTTTTCCTTCACAATGTCTCATTTTTCTCTCCCTTCTTAGTGCAACCAGAGGTGACAGTGTACCCAGAGAGGACCCCATTCCTGCAGCAGCACAACCTGCTTCTCTGCTCGGTGACAGGCTTCTATCCAGGGGACATAAAGATCAGGTGGTTCCGAAATGGACAGGAGAACAGAGCTGGGGTTGTGTCCAGTGGCCTTATTAGGAATGGAGACTGGACATTTCAGACAGTGGTGATGCTGGAGATGACCCCTGAACTTGGAGATGTCTACAGCTGCCGGGTGGAGCACCCCAGCCTGCTGAGCCCGGTTTCTGTGGAGTGGAGTGAGAATTAGTTTCTTGTACTCTCTGGGGTTGACTCAGGATCATCCTGACTCCTTACAGGACCTGTGTCCCCTCTGCATTAATCTAGGTCACAATACAAATTCTTCTTTCTCTAGATCTGGAAGTCACAGAAATCAGTCCTTGGGTGAGGGTGGGAGAAAACAGGGAAACTATTCTCATATCTTCCGGGAGTCTAGTGACTTCATTACTTGCTCCTAACCCTGGAGCTGGTATCCTCTAGTTAGTACTTTGAATTTGGTATTTAAGGGGCATTCTCACCGGATATAAGAATCAGTGACAAATGGGAGGTAACTTCATGAGTGTGAACCTTTCCCTCAGAGAATCATTTCTAAACTTCTCTAAATAGCATTGAATTTGGTGTCTAGTATAAGCTTTGGGAATTCAAGAAGGTGCCCCCAATATTGGGAGCTTTTTACTAACTTTGAGACCTGTTTTCCATAGGAGCTCAGTCTGAATATTCTTGGGGAAAGATGCTAAGTGGAGTTGCAGCCTTCCTACTTGGGTTAATCTTCCTTCTGGTGGGAATTTTCATCCACATCAGGGCTTGGAAAGGTAAGGAGCCTTTGAAGAGAAGCCTGCCACGTTCCCTGTGCCATCCCTCACTTCCTACATTTCCTACCTCCAAGATTGGAGAGAGGGAAGGCTGAGTGTTCTCAGATATCACTGAGCTAGTCTTTTCTGCAGCCAGAAAAATTCCAGTGGGAAGCAGAGATGGAGACATGTAGGCCATACTCTATCCCTCAGGATAATCTCAGCAGTTGTTCCTAACTGAGGCATTCCATTCTTTTTCTTTCTTTCCAGGATCTGTGGAGACTCACTCTGGTAATGAGGTAAATGTCTCTTATTACTTGTCTTTGAGTGGGAGACCATTCTCCCAGTTCTTTGGCCAGAAGGAGACACCATGGGGTCAAGGAGGGAAGAGGGTGTAGCTGGATGGTTTTGTCTCCTAAAGCTCTGGTATAGGAGGGTGGGGCTGTCTCACCAGTTCTTTTATCACCCTCCTGCAGGTCTCAGGAGCTGTTTGCCCAGTACAAGCACACTAAAGTCCTAACTGAAGCTCTTCCCTGGATCCTGAAGCAGTGCTCAGTGGCCTGGGCCCTGGGTTAGGTAAAGGACACTCAAGAGATTACTGTTCTGGGAATGAGCCTTCTCCATCCCGCTTGGAGTCCTGAACTCATTCTAGAGTGTGTGCTTTGAGGTCATGCATCTCTACCTTTCTGCCTTTCTGCCTCTACTGGGTACTTCATGAGTTGCCATTTCCAAACACACTGTCCAGAAATTTCCTTAACTCTTAACTCCTTTCACTTCCAAACCGTTTACTTTTCATAGCCAGACCTAACCCTCTGAGTCATGATTCCCAAACCTTTTTCTCTTCCAACTGCAGTCTCCACAGTCTTTAGAAGACAAATGCCCATATATCACTATTTTCCTTTTCACTGCTTTAAAAATATTTTTATTATAAAGCAAAACAGATACGGACAACCACATAAAGTGTATAATTAATGGATTATTTAAAGAAAAACCCCCATAATGACCACTCAAATCAAGAAACAGAATTTTGCCAGCCCTGCAGAAATCCTCGTGTGCCTGAACCCAGTTAAATCCTTCCCTCCTATGAAATTAAACATAAACTATGTTTACTAGAGCCTTTCTCTTGTAGTTACTTAGTGCTAATTCACCCAAATGTGACTCTTGGACACCACACTTCATTTTCTGTTTCCTCTCGGACCTCACAAGTTCTCCCTCCACCCTTCTTTTCCTCAAGAGCAATCTGCTGGCTTGAGCAGCTTAAGCTGAAGTGTTTCCTACACTCGGCTGTGTTGACTGCGTGCACACGCCGCAGGCTAGCGCACCCCTTTGCCCTCCCACTTCCTGAAAATCAGCATTGGCCACAGAGGCTGGATCACACCTTGGTTTGATCTGCTTGGAAGTCCATAGCGACTTGCCTGGTCTTTCCTCAGAAGGTGTGTTATGTCCTCGTTCTCTTGTTGTGGTGTTAGAACATGTGATGGTGATCACCTAGGTCTGTGAATTTGTTGCGGATTGGAAAATGATGAGATTTCAATTCTATAATTCCTTCATTGTTTATTTATTGTATTTTATTTGTTCCTTTCACTGTTATTTGTCCTGAAGGTACAAAATCTATAGTGGCTAAAATTGTTGGTGCCTTAGCACAAATTGAAGCAATAATACCAAACTGTACAGGTAGTCAATTATATTGTTCACTGCTGTGGACTTACAGGAAAAAAATGCCCGGTGCCACAGAGCTAAATCCCTGGCCAAGCCTCTTTTTTCAAATGGATCTTCGCCTTTCCTGAAAGAAGGTCTGACAGACCCATTGTGGTTATTTAGACTTGGGTATTTGGTAGACATTTCTTCAAAAACCAAGTAAATCTATCATTTTAAGGAAAGTGATATTGACAAGAAAATTATATTTTAAAGAGAAAATTAAAAAATTGAAAAACTTGGGCTGGGGATTTAGCTCAGTGGAACTACACCTGCCTCTTAGGCTCAAGGTCCTGAGTTTGATTCCCCCCCAAAATTGAAAAACTTGCCACCATTTCCCGTTATCTAAAGATTTCTCTGAAGCGATGGGTGCTGATCACAGCAAGCGAGGTTTAGTAAGATGGCTTAATGAACCGTGTCCGTCTGTAAAGGTCTGCCGAACTCTGTGTACCAATGCTTTCTGAATGACCAATGTGTGAAACCGCAAAATCAATATCAAGAGAGATCCACTCGGAGGGCAAGTTAGACCAGTGAATTTTAATGTAACATAATATGAAAAAGTTCCTTGATAAAGTTTCATATTCCATGTTGCAACTAACTTTTAAAAATTCATTATTTCTTGAGTTTTATTAGTGTCTTAACAGAGAAGAAAAGCCAAAAAGACTATTAAACTTTTCATCTTCTTTCCAATTACATATTTGAATGCAGCCAGATTTTCATGTACTTCAACCAAAACAGCATATTGTTACAGATTGAACCGAGTAGAATATGTAACCAAACTATCTTTATTAAGCCAGACATTACAGAGATTTTTAGAAATGCCAAACAATTCCTTCTCTTTCACTATTCTGTGCTGAAAACAGTTATTTTTCCAGAAAAATATGTTATTTGCATTGCTAGATAATAGATTTATTTCTGTCACTTAAAGATAGACAAATATTAATGTTACTTGATATAACCCATGTGGAGTTAGTTTTTAAAAAATAATTTAATTGACATAAAATTGTACATATGTTATGAGATACTGTGTGATGTTTTTATACACGTATACACTGTAATGTGCAAATCAGGGCAAGCATAGTATTTCCTCAAACATTTATTATTTCTTTATGGTGAAATATTGAAATCCTTTCCTTCAGCTTTTTGGAGTATATAGTCCCAGTGGCATTATCTGCAGTAACCCTCCTATGCAACAGAATACCAGAACTTACTTCTGTCATGTAACTACAACTTAGTGCCTATTGGCTGAAATTTCCCATCCTTTCCACCCACTTCTCTCCCCAGCTTCTGCTGATCACCATTTTCCTTTTAGCTTCGATGAGATCAACACTATTTAGGTTCCAAAGATGAATGAGATCATGTGGTATTTGGCTTTCTATGCCTGACTTATTGTCACTTATTTCTGTGCTTGGTTTGATGATCAAAAGTTCAATCAGTATTGTAACAAATGATATGATTTCATCCTTTTTTAATGGCTGAATTATTTTGTATTGTATACTAGGGTTCTTTAAGGGTCTCAATTTTGAAAGTATTTCTCTTTATGTATCAACAAGTTTATAAACTAATGACATAGTCATTGCAGTTATTTGACTCTTTCTGAATAGATTTCTCAGGAAGAGCTTAGGGGAATGTTTCAGTCTGTTTGCACTGCTATAAAAAAAACTAACAAAGACTAGGTGGCTTATGTACAGCAGAAATGTATACCTCATAGTTTGAAAGGTGGGAGTTTGCGTTTAGGATGCCAGCATGGTCAGGTTCTGATGAGGGCCTTTGACATTTTGATATTGCTTCTTACTAATTTCTCAAATGGTAGAAAGCAGGCAAGGGAAGTCTCTGCCCCCAACCCTGGGGGGAACTGAGCCAAGGGCATTTGCACTGAGATGCATCTCCTGCTCTTTTTATTTTCTCTTTGAGACAAGTTATCTCTAATTCATGGTGTTGCCCAGGCTGGGCTCAAACTTGCAATCCTCTGCCTCAGCCTGAGAGCTGAGATTACAGGTATGCACCATCATTTGGGTCTTTTTAAAAAAACTAAGGCCTCTAATCATATTTAAGAGGACTTTTTCCAAACAGCTCACCTTTTAACACAATCATATTGGGGATAGAATCACAGCACATGAATTTTGGGGGGACATAAACATTTAGTGTATAGCAGGAAGTTCTTATACTTTACAGTCAAGAATAAGTTGTGCTGGATATAAAGTCCTTGGTTCTGAAGCTTTGGAAAAGGTAGAAAATTAGAAGCCAGCAGCAATTCACAGATTTTCCAGAACCCGGAATTGAGAAGTGCTCATTTAAAGAGAACCCTACTGCTGGACATGAGATGATTTGGACCAGTGGTTCTACAGGAAATGGAATCAAAAGAAATTCAGGCCGAATTCAAGGTTTGGAAATTATGCTGGAAGATAAAGTAGGTAAAACTCTTGAAAACATAGGTATAGGCAAGGACTTTCTGAGCAGAATCTCAATTGTACAGGAAATAACATCAAGAATAAACAAGTGGGATCATATCAAATTATGAAGCTTCTACGTAGTACAGGAAACAACCAACAGAACAAAGAGACATCCTACAGTATGGGAAAATTTTTTGCTAGCTACTCCTCAGACAAAGGATTGATTTCTAGAATATATAAATAACTAAAAAATTAGACCTTTAAAACAAAAGATTCAATAAAAAATGAATGATTCAAATGAATAGACACTTCTAATAAGTGATGTACATATAACCAATAGTTACAAGAAAAATTGTTCAGCATCATTGGGCATTAGAGAAATGGAAATCAAAACAACAAGAGAGTCTATCTTACTGCACAAAGAATGGCTACCATCAAGGACTCAAAAAACAACAAATGGTGGTGAGGTTGTGGGAATGAAGGAAATCTTCATGTTGGTGGGAATGTAGACTAGTTTATGAAAATCACTAGGGGGATTTCTTCAAAAAACTACAGAAATTCTATTTGACCTTACCTGTACCTTTTCTGCCTATCTTCCTGAAAGAGTTAAAGACATCATATGATTATGCATGCATATCCATGTTTATAGGAGCCCAACTCACAATAGCTAAATCTTGGAAGCAGCCTATAGACCCGTCAACAGATGAATGGATTAAAAATTTGGTATATTTGCACAATAAAAATGAAGTACTACTCAGACATAGAAAGGATAATTTTTTTTTTTTTTTTTTTAGTACCGGGGATTGAACTTGGGATGTTGCACTTTCGAGGCAGGCGGCAGAACCACTGAGCTAAATCCCTGGCAAAAAGGATAAATTTAGTCTTGTAGGAATGCCAAGTGAAATAAATCAGACATGGAAGGTTAACTATCCCTTGGTTTCTCTTATATGAGAAACCAAGATTATAAATAATTTAAAGAGCAAAATAAAAGATAAATGGAAGTAAACAGGGAAGTAGACTTTGTAGAGATGGAAAGGTGATCTTTGCCTCCAATTTTGAGCCCTCTAACCACTCTTCCCATCATAGTATTCTTTCTGAGATGAGAAACTGCTTGTGATGCCTCTCTTGTCACCAACCTGCTAATGGCCCTAGTGACTGTAGAACAAACTTCACAGCCCTTAGCCTGATGTTTGAGGCCTCCATCTCTAGCCCTCTGCCCTTCTTTACCCCTTTGCTAACCCTAAACTACTTTCAGGTCCCAGAAGCCTTGCCCTCTCTCTGTACCTCTCATGCTTTGTTAGACTCAGAAGCCATCCTCTATATCCTTCAGAGTCAATTTGAATGTCGCTTTCATTGGAAAGATTTCCTAATTCTTTGGGACTTCAATGTGTTTTGTACCTATTTCTGTCAAGCCCCTTGTTTGTTTATGTGTCTTCTACAAGGTAAACAGGACTCCATGTCTTAATTTTTTTCTCCCCAGAGTTCAGCTAATTGTGTATCACATAAGTACATAATAATGAAGTACTACACTAATATTACAGTGTTAAACAGTGTCCTCTCCATGATAATTCACTTTATTCTATGGCTTCTTTATTGCCTTGCCTTGCTTGCTACCACCTTCTGCTAACAAAAACAGTCTAATTCACGTCCCTTTGCCACATCACATCCTCAGGCAATAACAAAGCTTGTTAAATTTATAAACTTCCTCTACTTGGAGCAATGGTTTTCCATTTCAGGCCTCCTTCCCCACCTGCTCTTCTGGCAAATTTTCCCTTTGTGGTTCTTAAAGTCATGAATCTCCATGATTTTTACGATTTGATTTGGGTAGTGAGCAACAGTGTTAGTCATGCTGAGCTTACTTGTCTTTGCTGATCTTTAAGTGTTTTGCATGCAATTTTGAGGCACAACTCTTGGTGCACTGGCAGTGAGAGGGTTTCTTGATCTCTGTTTTATGTCCACCAGAAGACCTGATTTGCAGCGTTGACTGTTTTGGGCTGTGGTTTTTAAGAGAGGAAGATTCTGTAACTGTCCCTTGGCAGCGATGATTTTGCATGGGATTTGGCCAGAAGTTGCCCTTCGGCTATCTTGCCTCATCAGAAGGCTTCTTTGGGCCGGGGATTTAGCTCAATGGTGCCATCTGCCTCGCAAGTTCAAGGTCCTGAGTTCGATCTCTGCTACCAAAAAAAAAAAAAAGGCTTCTTTGTTTTCCCTCAGTATGGGAGGTGTAGTGCCTTTCAGGTTTGGGCTCCAGAATGTGTTGTGGGAGGAGAAACGTAAGGTGGGAGAGGCAGTCCCAGCTTTCCTGGAGGTGAGGTTTCTCAGGCATAAAGATTTCATCTGTAGTGCCCTTAATATGAGAAATGAGCAGAAAGAGGGCTGGTTTTCATATCGAAATGAGGACCACAGTCAGAATACTAGATTGATCACCCAATAAAATTCTGGATGGAAAAAGTTCAAAGAATAAAAAAAAAAAGAAAATGTTCAGAAAATCTTGAACTTGAGTCTGGCTATGATGCAGCCTTATATCATTATGCCGGAGGATGCAAAAAGGCACATCGGCCTCTAGAGGACGACCGAGACCGACACTTAGGCGTGTTTTTGGGTGCTCCTCTGCAGAGGGAATCCCTTTGGAAACCAAGCAGGCTTTCCCCATGCAGGCTTGGTGTCTCCTTCCTGTCTCATGTTACCTTAACCCGCGTGGCTCTATAAGAGGGAATCCGAGGACATGAAAAATCAGGGAAAGGCGAGGAGGTTTGTGCGCAGCTTTCTAGATCAGCCATCAAGCCTCCTGCGCGTTGTGGACCTGCTCACTGGTCACGAGAATCACAAGGGACAATGGAAATGATCTGGGGAAATCTTCAGTTTTGCAGGTTACAATGTGGTCCTTCTAGACCTGAGCTACATCCAGCTTGGGAGCGCTAGAGAGTAATGATACGAGCTCAAAAGCCAAAATGGTGCTTGACTAGTCTGTTCTCCACACAGATATTGAAAAGCTCTCTGCTGTCCGTATATCCTACACAGGGGACGACCCATTATGATGCACATCAGCTGAATAAAGCCCTGAAGTTCTATTTAACAGTGAAGGCTGCTTTCTTAGGTTCTGACATTTAGTATTTGTGAACACCCAGCAGGGCCCTTGGGTAAAAAGCTTGCAGGAGATGTGAACGCGCTGTATTTCTGAGCCCCGCTCATCCAGCTCTGCACTCTTGCCAGCCCACAGTCAACCTCACTTTTTAAACAACCCTAGCTTAGTTCTTCTTAGCAGTGGCCAGCTGTACTGGCCCTCATCCCAGCCCTTCCAGCAATACCTGCCTTTCCTTAGATTTCAGGCTGTGATGGGCTCCAAAAAATTGTGTTTGCCTTGCAGCTTGCCTGACTTTTCTGGTTGCCAGGGTGGAAAGACATTGTTTCCAGCTTTTCACGTCCCAAAGCGGGAGCATGGACTCGGGTTAGATGTTCTGGAATGAAGGCACCAAGAGGAAGTGCCTTGGAAGCCAGAGGCCCAGGGGAAATGCATACAGCTGCGCATGGAAGAATGAAGACAAAGTAAGGGATTTAAACTGAAGAAAAATGTAGAGAATTCATCCCTAACCACTACTAAAGGAAGTTCTTCAGACAGAAGAGCAATAGGTTCTTTCCTCCATAGCATTTATAATCCTATTTAAAACCTCAAAGCTCAAGCATTGCTTTTTTTCCATAAAAGGATTACATTGCGGTAGAAAGGATGCACCATTATCACTGATACCTAAATGGATAAGGAATGAGTGAGAACTAATAGGATGTACAGAAAGAGGGGAAAATCCCTCTTATTATGCTATGGTATCTTTTGATATTTTGTGTGGTATTAGAAAAAGAGGTTAAGGGCCTGAAACTTCTGCTAAAATTCCAACATATGCTCTTTTATTCTTATGTGTGATCTGAATTAGTTCTAGCAAAAGGAGAAAGAGTATACTTTAAACAACGACACTTGGTTACTTTTCTCATTGCTGAGACAAAGTACTCAACACCCAAAGTTAAAGGAGGAAAGGTTTATTTCATCTCACAGTTTGTAGAGGTTTCAGTCCATAGTCAGCTGGCATGAAGGCAGAGTGGCATGGTGGAGGGACATTACAGAGGAGAAACTGTCCATGGCAGAACAGGCAAGAGACAGTGTGAGACCTAAGTGACTCCATTCTAAAATTTG